AGGTTTCTAACAATAAAGAGATTAATTTATCCTTTGAGAGAGATTTCAAATAATTAGGTTGAATGACTACCTCATCATCATGCTTTGCCATTAGACAGAGATTGGCTACTTCATCGTCTGTGTGTTCCTGTTCCTCTTCTTCGGAACTTGATTCTCCCCACGTGGAAATCATTGCTTTCCTGAAATTTGTTTTAGAAAAGTTAGGCTTGGAATTTCTGCTTTGATCAGCTTCTTTTCCCTTGCCTTTCTCAGATTCCCATAATGGACACTCTTTGATGAAGTGGTTGGTGCTTCCACATTTGTGACAAGAAGACTTGGCTTTGGGTTCCTGATTTCTTTTACTGTATCCTTTCTTCTTGTCTAAAAACTTGTTGTTACGGTAGAATTTTTTCAGCCTTCTCACCAACATTGCAGCTTCTTCTTCATCGATGTCAGACTTCTCTTCGGATTCTTCATTAGCTCTTAATGCTAGCCCTTGACTTTTGACAGTCTCCTGAGTCCGATTGTTCGACTGGATCTCGTGAGTAATGAGGGAACCCGCAAGATGTTCCAGATTGAACTTGGTGAAGTCTTTTGATTCCTGCACCGCTGCAACCTTTGCTCTCCATCTGTCATTGTCTGGAAGACTTCTTAAGACTTTTCTGACCTGCTCATCTATAGGAATTATCTTGCCAAGACACGTTAGTTCGTTAGTAATACCTTTAAATCGAGTAAACATGTCTTTAATGGATTCTTTGTTTCCCATTTCAAAGCGCTCATACTGAGACAAAAGAATGTCTATTTTGGAACGTTTAACATCTGACGTTCCTTCATGTGTAACTTCCAGAAGATCCCAAATTTCCTTTGCGGACTTGCACCCTTTGACACGAGTATGTTCATCGGGTCCAAGTCCCCAAATTAAAAACTTTTTGGCAGTAGCATTCATTTCAAGTTTTTCAAAATCAGTTTTTTCATACTCATCCATAGGTTTAGGGATTACCTCATTATTAGCATTCGTTTTCGTAATTTCGTAATCTCCTACTTGTATAATTCGCCATACCTGATAATTCTCTGCTTGGATAAAGATTTCCATCTTATCCTTCCAATAAGGATAAAATTTGCCGTTGAAGTATGGAGGCCTTTGAATGGATGTACTCCCGAATTCCTTTTCCTCTGTGTAAGCCATTTTCCAGGAACTTACTCAACAGGGTTGCCTGCGTGTTCTGAGTTCCTGCTCTGATACCAACTGAAAGTCTAACTGGCTAATACAAGAGGGGGGGTGAATTGTATTTGAGGTGAAATCTAAAAACTTTTTGCGGAATTTAACTAAATGAAATAGTGACGAGAGAAGATATAGGCTTTTCTAAATTTCCACTAAGTAATCAAACTCTTTACAAGTGAAGATTCAAACCCGTTAACAAGTTCCACACATTAGGAACTTGTTCCCAACTCTCACAGAAGACTTCAGCAACGAAGCTTCCTTGACCTCACTTTACAAACTCACAATCCCAACCCCTAAGTACTTGAATACAATCTGTGATTACAAATACCTATTGCACTCAAGAATATATGAAGGAAAATAACTCTCTTTATGTTATTAGATGGCTACTGGAATTTTTATGCTCAAGAGTTATGTTTTTCTGAGATAGTTTGCATGAGTATTTATAGAGAAGGCTTAGTCATTAACCTCCACCATAATCACGTCCACATGTCAACAACCCACTAACAACTTGTGGAGTTATCTTGACAGATTGTGATCATGAAGAGGTTTCCTAGCCTTATCTAATTAAACCACTATCCTAACAACTTGATAACCATTAGCCGTATAAAAGATTTTCTCACAGAAAAACCACTTGCTAACTTTATCAAATATTTATTTAAAAGATTATCAAAAGTTTGTTTAAAAAGATTTTATTTGAAAAGATAAATTTATTATTTATTAAAACAACTAGATAATTATCTTCGATAATTATCTTTATTAAAACTTTTACAAATTATCTTTTCTTTAAGAAATTATCTTTTAAAACTAACTTTTATTCCAGTAGTCTTTAACATAAGTCATTGAGTTCCTTTCCGACTTTATATTATTGAGTGCTCACAATTAAAACTAGAACGTGAGATTTGCACGAGGCTTTTTAAAGAATGCTACTCCGCATCCAAGTTCCTACTCCGGAACGAACTTTGCTTGAATCCTTTATTCACCAAAGACTCAAAACATTCATTAGTCGAGTTTGTCAATTTGTCCATCAAAACCAAAAGGCTCAACAGTCCCCAATTTAGGTTGACTCATGGTAGAAACCATAGAAGAGAATAGCAACTAGTACCATTTAATGAAGGGCCCGAAATGGCCCGATTAATTAACTTGAATGAGCCAATAACATCCGCAAATTTTACACCACGTCTATACTTTTGAACATTTAGTAAATAAATCTGAACAATTGCCAATTTTTGAATATTTAGTGAAAAAAAATCTTAACATTGCAAATTTTGAACATTTAGTAAAAAAAATTGAACATTCGCAATGCACCACGCCTATACTTTTAGACATTTAGTAAAAAAAAAAAATCTGAACAATTGCAAATTTTGAACATTTAGTAAAAAAATCTGAACAATCGCAATTTTTGAACATGTAGTATATTAAATACAACACTATATAATAAACATCAATTTTTTGAAAAAAGTTTGTCTGACTCCTAATAATTCAATAGTTTTGTAATATAAACTGATTTACTGTATATAAAATGAAAATTTCTTTATAAAATATGAACATATAAAATTAGATGTTTATGTTTATTTTTTGTGACGTGTTCATATTTTTTACTAAATGTTCATTTTTTGTAAAGTGTTCAAATTTTTTTACTAATGTTCAAAAGTTTAGACGTTTTTAGGTGAATCATGGTGCACATAATAACTATTGAATAACACCATTACTATTGAGCACCACCAGCTATATTAAAATGTAACATGAGGTCAAGATGTAAACCTCTAAATTAATCAACTGAACCTAATTGATCAAACGAGCCAATAAAGCCCTTTCTATTGGATATTTTTGAGGAGAAAAGAGTGAAAGTAGGTCTCAAATTGTCTATACTATAGGAGGGCAAAAAGGTAAAAAAATCAGGAAAATAAGTAGTAAAAGTGGTTGGGAAATCCTAAAACGAAATTTTTAAAAAATGACCATAACCTAGAAGAACTTTGAGTGCAAAATGAACAATTTTGGTACCAATATGTCAGTCGCTTAATAGCTTTCTAGTAGTGAATTCAGAACGTATGTTTTGGTTGATCTCAATGATTGAGCTCCAAATTAAATGAGCAAAAAATTAAGGGAGTTCGTACCATCACCATGGACATAATAATATGAATGTGTTACACATTTACACTCACTTACTCCTTGTTTATAACATGCTTTTAGACCATGTTGAATCAAATAAAGGACATATATATTCATTTTCACACCTAAATCATACCTATATCTACTTCAATTGGCTCAAGTATGATGTACCCTCTTGATTGACTCTTATCATCCTTACTCTTTCAATCTCTCTTTTTCTTTTCCACCTACATATAATCACCGTAGCCAACAACATTCTATTATATGTTCGATCATTTCAAAAGATACATTAATAATTTTAAATTTATATTACATAATTATATTCCCATAAAATTTATTGTAAGATAAGAAAACTACTTTGTATATTATAAGGCGGGGGAAATATTATTTTATAATAACGTTTTAACATTTTAACACATCAACCAAAAATTTAAAAGTTATTCGTATATACTTGTAATAAATATTTGAACAATACATACTTTTACGAGTGTACTATATTATTTTTCAAAAATATAAATCTCATTCATCGATATAATGATATAATTAGTTATAATTATAATTAGATCTAAACTCAAGGATTTCTCAAAAAGAAAAAAAAATAAAAATAAATAAATAAATAAACTCAAGGACCAAAGCAAAAATCAGTTGATTCAGAGCGACATTATCTCTCGTGGTCCAAATTGAGGTTGATATTGGTTTGTTACTTTGTTGATCTGAAATTCAACAAAATCATAGGTAATGGGGCCTGTTAGATATTGAATTGATCGTAATAATGCACGAATAGTAATGACTCGTGAAGCTCCAGGCATTAAGACAAATTTGTACCGTAGATGTGCACCAGCTGATCTGTCTAGTTTTATCAACTCAACTTTGTAGGATATAAAGTCCCTTTTTTTATATAGTGCATAAATTAATTACAATGCTAATTACTCATATAAGTTTTTTTTAATTAGTCCACCATGGCTTGCTTCCCTATTTTTTCTTTAATTTTTTGGATGTGCATGATAAATTCTTCATGCATTTTAATTGTAAATTGAGTTATTAAATCTTTCAAAAGAAGTCTATACATTTACATTTTTGAAAATCGGGATTGTTTTACATAATTTAACCATAAATTTCCAATAAATTACAAAGCATAAGATGTAACGTATTATGTCAGATCATGTTAGATTCATTCCAAAGAATATGTACACTGAAAATATTAATTTTGTTCCTTATAATTTTATCCATACGGTAATTAATCTAATACATTCATGTTCAATTTTATGTGCTACTCCATATATACTGTTAAAAATGGACAATGTTGTTAAAATTTGGCCTTATAAAACATCACATGTGAGTATCGATCTCACATTGCCCACGGTATAAAAGTTTCATTAGACAAGTTCACATGCATAGAATCATAGATAGAGTTAGAAGTTACTCCGTATATAATTATTTATATTTCTTTTTTTGACGAAAACTCCGTACATAAAATTGATTAGAGAAGATTTATGTACATTTTATAAATTTGAAAATGACTTATAAAGAATCACACTAGATTTTGAAATAGATCCATTATCTAGTTACCTAATTAAAGTTCCTTAAAAAGCATGAAAAAAAAAGAAAAAGAAAAAAAAAAAAGAGGTTATCTAATTGACAGCTAAGGAAGTAAGGAGTAGGTGGGCATTGTTTTCCCTATAAAAATGAGATCTAGGGCAGCCTTGAGTTATATCACCAAAACAAACTCTCTATACTTTTGTAAACACCTTAATTTTCTTCTTTTTGCTCAACTTTGAAGCAGCTTGTAGCCAACAATGAGGCCTTTTACTGCTGTTTTTCTTGTCCTCCTGCTTGTCTTGGCCGCAGGTACAACCATTTTAATTAACTTGGTATATATACGTAGTACATTTTACGAAAAATTACACTATGTAATACATAGTTTAAATGTTCAATGTATTTTGAGACAATAAGGAGTAATTGGAATGTTACTTAGTATGTTGTTTGGTTCATAACCACACATAATGCAAAACACTACTAGCAAACGAGAGTAACAACTAACGAGATATATAATCCTAGTTAATCCCTATGACCTTCACGGGCGGGCACAATATAAAATGTTCAATAACTTATTTGTGTTGATATAATGTGTTAATAACTTGGCACTAAGTTTATGATTCTCATATCTATAGTACATGCTCACAAATCAAAAGTGTAGCTTCATTATTTTACATACATAGTAAGTGAATTTAAAAATTGTTCATAACTAATTAATTTAAAGATTAAACTTGGCCAGTTGGCCAAGGTAAGAGGAAACGTGTTTAATTAGCTTCCTCATGTATCTAACCTTTAAAAATAAAAATGAAAAAGAAAAAAAAAAAAAAAAAAAAGCTAACTAAAAATTGTGTGTTTGTTTAGAGATGGGACCAAGAGTAGCTGAAGCAAGAACATGTGAAACAGCAAGCCATAAGTTCAAAGGAGCATGCATAAGTAAAAGGAACTGCGAAAATGTCTGTCAAACTGAAGGTTTTTCTGGTGGTGATTGTCAAGGCCTTCGCAGAAGATGCTTTTGCACTAAGCCCTGCGCTTAATTACCCTCTTATTATTCATTATTTTCGTGCTTCTTAATTATGTATCTTCAATGTATGGGGTCGGATTAAAATAAATTTAAGGTTGCGAAAGTTGTTACTCGTATGTTAAATTTTTGTGAAAAATAATGTGTTTGTCGCATGTATCGGGACTACTAGTATGTGCAATAAAATTGTACGTTTGTTGTGACTAAAGTGGTAATATATGTGAATGATACGTGGTTGATGGAGGAGTTAAAATGAACACAACTACACAAGTGAATAAGTTATAGATGGATATTCCGGTTTCTAATTCAATGTCATATCATTTTCTTTGAATTACTATGAGTAATGACAAACATGTTAGGGACACCTAACACTCATTAAATTGAGAAAGATATCCTTAAAATGTGTGAATAATATACCCCGTAAGTAGTTGTTTATGGTGGGCTCATAACAAAAATAATACAAATGGATCAAGTATAAAGACATACGATTATCTTAATGTATCAATGTATATAGCACACAAAAAACTAAGACTTGGTTTAGTGAGAAATTGATACTTGTTCCCACAACCACAAGGTTATGCATGTGATCAAACCCGCTAAATGCACGTTGGGGTGGGGGATTCCCTTACCACCCCCTCCCCCACCCCGACTTCCAAAGGACTTAGACTGCTAAAAGGGCGGAGCCATGGGGGGCTGGTGGTAGAGGCCCGGCTCCCGTGGTCCAACTGGTGATCCATTTATGATCTAGTCTGGCCCTCAAAATAGATATCTATCCAATGTATTAAGTTGCCAATAATAGCTCAATTGGTAGTATGGGCTTTGCATGGGGAGAGATGGGTATCAAGTTCGACTCCTCTACTTTATGCATATTTTATTCTCTTTATATATATATTTTTTATTTTTTATATTTATTGTTTTTATAATTTTTTTGGTTAGCTTTACCGAGTCTTAGCCCTCTTAGATTTTCATTCCTAGCTTCGCCTCTACTCGTTAATTTTGCTTGGAAGAACCTACGTGTGATTCCGGTCTAGTAAAATCCTTCTCCTTATATACAAATAAAATGAAGCATGACCAAAATCAAAATGGTGGATCAATTAAATGAGTTAGGAGCCACGTAAAACAACATAGTCCGCTTGCGCAAATTTTAAGGTGCACCGTAGTGCATCTAGAAATAGGTGCACCACGCCTTTACTTTTGTACATGAAGTAAAAAAATTTGAACAATTGCAAATTTTGAACATTTAGTGAAAAAAATCTGAACATCGCAAATTTTGAACATTTATTACAAAAAATATGAACAATCACAATGCACTGCGCCTATAATTTTTAACATTTATTAAAAAAATCTGAACAATCGCAAATTTTTAACATTTAGTATAAAAATCTAAACAATCGCAAATTTTGAACATGTAGTATGTTAAACACAACACTGTAATAAACATCAATTTCTTAAAATAATATTGTCTAACTTGTAATAATTCAACAGTTTTGTAATATAAACTGAACATTTACTCATATAAAATGAACATTTCTTTATAAATAATGAACATATAAAATTGGATGTTTATGTTCATTTTTTGTGCATGTTCATATTTTTTACTAAATTTTCATTTTTTTGTAAAGTGTTCAAATTTTTTACTAAATGTTAAAAAGTATAGACGTGGTGCAAATATTTTTAAGTGCACCATGGTGCACATAATAATTATTGGTACGCTTGAAGGGTTCATACTTTAAAGGTGGGGTATGGGCAGGATCCAAGTCTGAAATCTTTGGACCATACGGTCCATAACACAAATACGCAATACCGTACCTGGACCTGTCATAGGTTCTAAAACATATCCGATAATTAGATAGGATCCAAAAAGATCTTGCAACCTATTTACTATCCCTATCCACTATGACTTCAAGAGCTTCCACGCTTACAAAACAATCAATTTTGGGCTTTACTTGGTCACAAGAAGTAGGCTCGTACACAAGCCCATTAGTTTGCTCAATTTTTATTCTATGACCTTATTCTCTTCACCTTATTTTGACAATATTAAAAATATATATATAAACATAATAAAAATAATTTTAATAAATAAAAATAAAGTTAGGTTCAATAAAAATAAGATTAGTTTGATAAGAGAAGTTTTAATAAAAAAAATGGAAAGTCTAAAGAACAAATACAATTGAGAATCAATAAAAGAAATCTAATACTCCCTCCATCCCATAATACATGAGACGTTGAAAAAATCATAAAATATGTTGTTAGATAGGTATTAATATAAAGTTTCATCATATAATTTTTAAAATAATTTTCATTAATATTTAATTATATAAAAATAAAGTCAAACTAATGCACTAATTTGACCGTGTCATGTATTCTGGGACAGATGGAGTAGGTAATTTAAGGTCAACAAAAATAATTCAATTTCAGTAAATATAATTTTAAGTTAGTTCAACAAAAATTAAGGTGAAGAAAACAGGAGTATGTGTGGAGTAATTTTGAAGTAGGGATAACAATCTAATTTAGATTTACGCATTACTTTTGTTCCCTCTAGGTTTTTTCCTTGGGAGGGTTTTTTTGGTTCCCTCTAGGGTTTCTCCCCTCGGAGGGTTTTTCCTAGCCTCCATTGTTAGGTTTTTTTTTTTATTTTTTTTTTAAGGTTTCTTTCTCTCTTCTCCATTTTCTCTCCATCTCTACCATCTTTTTTCCTCTTGATTGGTCTCAGTTGTGAATCTTTGTAGGGGTTTCCAGTGGACACCCCAGAAAACCTTTTAATTGCTTTCAATAAATAGATCTCATCCTTGAGATGATGATTTTTCTCTTGAATTTATTTTCTTTTTATGTTTGTATGGCGAGAATTGATGAAAATTTAGGGTTTCATAATCTATCTCTACAAGAATTCGGAGGACCACATGAGTATTTTCACTTAAACGGCTACGCATCAGTGGATTTCAAGCCAAATCAGTACGAACTCACAGATTGTATTGCTTCAGATGAAGTTTTTATTAAGGCAATTGTTGATCAAATCTACGATGTATTTAGTTTTAAGGTGTTATGTACTTGTGTTGGAATTTTTGATTTCTTAGAAATTATATGTAAGTGCCGTTTGACTATATTTTATTAATGAAATCCTTTTTTTTCTTGTCAAAAAAAAAATAAAAAATAAAAATAAAAATATCTAATTTAGATTTGATCCTGATGCTAATTGATACTATTCACTGTAAAAAAAAATGTAGACAATGCTGGGAAAAAAAAAAAAAAAACTAAGTTGGAGGCGGAGGAGAGCCAAAAATGGCTTCTACTCCGACGTATTATAGACTTATGGTTTTATGGAATTTTGATGATAATTATATATTTGGTTAAATTGTATGTATTTAGAGGTAAGTTTATAACATTGCCAAATAATATTTGTACATAGTAATATTAGATTAGTGTTTTTTTCAAACAATAATAATTTAAACTGAAATAATTGGGCCAAAAAATAATTGAGAGTTGAGTCTAATCAAGGTCAGAAGTTAAGTTTATATATTAAAACAAAATTTAATTGTCAAAAATAGTCAAATTAAAACTTTGTCATCTTGAGGATCAGAGTTAGACTATTTATAATTCGATCTGAATCTAACTTGTTGCCATTCCTACTCGGAAGTAATAGACATTTCTACTACGTAGCTTTCTGCAAATTTAACAACCATTCTTTATTTAGAAAGATATTAATTTATTTTTTTTTGCTACTTGTGATAAAGGATTTTGGAGTTTTGGGAGGTAACTTAACTTATCTTGTGAGAGTGACAGTCCGCAGTCCCACTCCTTCACTTGGACAATGCAAAGTCCCTTAAAGCCCTGCTATAAACTTGTTATAATGAACTGGACCACTATGACTTCGATGTCATATGGTCAGATCAACCAAGAGCCTCCCAAAGTCCCAAGTTTTGGGCTTTACTGTGTCACTAAAACCAGGTTTGCCTTCTTAATTAGTTTTATAATCTTGTTACATTTTAATTACAATGAGTGATGGTTAATTGATAATTTATACTTCGAATAATTGTAATATTCATCTCATTTTAGTTCCAACACTAGTAATACACGGTTTTTTACTTATTAATTTATTTATTTATTTATATTTTTTTAATTCAATCACTTGTAATAAACTGGTTGCAGCACGTAAATGGCCGGAAAACGGAGCTCAGGCAAGTACTGGTACCCAATTTGCAACTTCCAAAGTTGGGTACCCGATTTGCAACATTTACCATACTTTAGTACCCAACTTTAATTTTATATTTACTCTGCTTGTGTGCCTTATGCATGTATTTGTGGTGCAGGTTAGTGTCATTGCATGTTGTTTTCTCTATTTATTAGCTTGTTGTGCATATGGGGATAGCTTGCCAACATGAGTCAAACCTTGAGGATTTAGGCGTCGCACGGAACGAGCGCAGGCTACCAATTTTTTCTACTTTAAGCTTCTCAAGAATATATATGTCCAGATCTTGAATATTAATTTAAAATAGATGCTATAATATGTAAAATATAATAGCTAAAAAATATTTCAAATCAAACTTGACAAGCTTTTTGAGTCGTACTTGACTTTAAGGGGCGCTGGATTTGCTTGTTCATTGTAATAAGTAGCTAGGCATCTCTATGATAGACGAAGCATCTTAGTATGTACAAAGCCACCGTATACAAGAGCTCAAATTGAAGTAAATAAAATTTTGACCGTGTCAGAGTATCATGTTATGGTAGTTCAAAAAACTTTTCTTTTATGAAAGTAACTTGAAGCTTTATTTTTATTTCACAACCAAAATATTATCTACTACCTCCGGTCGCTATTATTTGTAACTTTTACTATTTTTAGCCGCCCAGCATTATTTGCAACTTTTCAATTTCTTTCCCTTTTTAACAAACTTTTTTGGTTAAAAAGACATTTATATAGTGGTCCCCCTTTTTATTTTTTCTCTCTCCTCCTAACCACATGTATAAAATCAGATTTTAATATTTATTTTTTCTCTCTCCTCCTAATCACATGAACAAAAAACCCTTTCCTTTTATTATCAAATTATGCTTCGTGAACCGTAAACCCTCCAAAGTTGCAAATAATAGCGACCGGAGGTAGTATTTATCTTATTCTATTTACTTATATATTAAATCAAATCAATTTAAACCTCATAGTTTAAGTCAATGAAGCCCTTTAATTTGTAGCCTTTGTTCTTGTTTGTATGCTTGTCTTGGCTTTAGGTACATCATCTATACTCCTAAGTCCTAACTACAATATATTGTACATTGCATGCATTAATCCTATCTTTATTCTACCGTAATATATTAATAGTATATATGTGGAAAGCTAAATGAGGGTATGTTCGTCCATCTTAGTCTTGCATTGTACTATACAACAAGTGTCTTAATAATACAATTAAATTAACAAACTTATAAGTTAGCCTGAATAACAAAGTAAAATCCTAGTTTTGTCTTTCATGTGTTATGGAGTGACTCTAACTTATAAATCGATCTGTTGTATAAACAACAAATCTCCTTCGTTTTGTGTTTATTAACATTTCAAAGCAACTATCCGAATTTTAATTAATTAGCTTAAAAATAATACACTAGCAATCTAGCATATAAAATTAAACTTATGGTGGACTTAATCATTTATTGTTCCTAGCATTTTATTGGCTGCCTGATTCTCTAAATACCGTTGTATGTGCAATTTTTCCCTAATTAGAAACATTATATGCGAGTAATTAGAAGACAAATTATTGCATTAACTTCACCCAATAAATAGAGTACAATACATAAAAAGTTAAAAACTACCAGAGGTGCAAGGTGACCGGTGCATGCACTCCGAAGTCTAAAGGGATTAGAGTTTTTTTTTTATTATTCCTGCTAACATTTAAAATTATGTCTTAGCTTTATCTAGAAGTTCCTCATATATATAGTGTAAATTAAAATGAACATAATTATCTTTGTTCCTTTAAAGGCCAATTACTTCATACTATAAGGGCAAAAATGAGTCAAATCGATCGTGTACTAGCTTAGCATAGTCCTTATGGTGGAGATAAAATATGAACATGCTAAAAAGCGCACATATTGCATGCACAAATTCATATACTACGACGTATAATTATATGTATAATCTATCTTCTTAACTTCTTTGATTACAAATTCTAGCTACAATTTGAAATATATATACTACCTCTGGTCGCTATTATTTGCAACTTTGGAATATTTTGCATCTCATAAATAATGCCCCAAAGTTGCAAATAATAGCGACTGGAGGTAGTAATATTTTGTTATACAGAAAGCAATCATATTTTGTTTAGATTATAAATTTGTACCTAACTTAAGCATATACATGTATAAATAGACTTGAGTTGATTGACGGCATGCTCTATCTATCACTGTACAAAGCCACCTTCCCGAAAGTAAATTGAAAATAGAACGTGTCAAGATATCATGTAATGGCATGTTACGTGTAGCTTGTTGCACACATAGAGAGTACCAATGTTACAATCTGTCAAAGATTTCTACTCATATAAAAGTAACCCAATAGTTTTGTGTTTACTTCATAATTAACCAAATTAATACTCTTTAAGTTATTTTTCTTAATCAAATTAAACCCTCTTTTGGTAGAGTTGGAAAGCTAAGTTTTCAAGGAAAGTCAATAATGAAGCCAATTGCAGCCTTTGTTCTTATTTTCTTGTTTGCCTTGACCTTAGGTATAGCTTCCATTTCTCCCCTTATTAGTTTTGTTATGCAATGTTATAATGCTACACGCATGGTCCATGTTAAATTTATTGCACAATATTACTAGTCGGGCCGAGCTTGCATACATTTTATAAAGATTAGGCTCGTCTTCTCTCAAAACTGTAATCTTCTATTTCTGAGTTGCAATATAAGCTTACCACTATAAATTTAGCACATATTCAAAGTTAAATTGTGGGATTGATCATAATGTGTCACCAAGTATTAATTCTAATTAGCTTAAATCACTTTGGCTGCTCTCTGATTCACTATTTATTGTTGTAATTGTAATTTTTACTGCCTCTTAAGTATTAGGTTTATTTTTTTTCTCCTCTAAATAGTTTTCACGATTATTATCTGTGATAATATTTTGATTTTTTAAAATTTTCCTCTTATTATTTGGTTAATAACAATGTGATTTGTAGAGGGGATGTGTCCAAGAGTGGCAGAAGGATTCTTGTGGAGAAAGAAATGCAATGTTGCAAGTGTCAAGTACAAAGGGCCATGCGCAAATGACTCCGACTGTTAACTCCGTTTGCAAGTCGGAGGGAATGAAATCAGGAGATTGCCATGGCCTACGCAGAAGATGCCTTTGCTGTCCTCATTAGGGTTCCGTCATTGATTATGACGACTAAGTACTCTCTCTGTCCGAAATTAATAGTCATGATCGTTCAAACAAACTACTAATGTAACAAGTAAAACCACAACGAATGACGAAGATAGGGAGTACGACTATCTATCTATCTAGCTCCATGTACTTGCATTTGTAACTTTTATGTTTGTTTCACAATCAAAACAGTATCTTTTCTGTATAATTGTCCTAAATCAATTCAATCTAAATAAAGCTCCAAAATTCAAGTCAATCAAGCCCTTTGAAACCTTTGTTCTTGTTTGTGTTCTTGTCTTGGCATTAGGTATTCGATCTTGTCTATGTGATTTGAAGTGACCAGCTTATTAAATTTGTTCTATTACTATGACAACCATAATTCTCTTTCATATACAAAGTAGTATACCTCCGTAAACAGTTATTTGTAACGATTTGACATAAAGTAGAGAGAAAAAATGTCTAATAGTTACAGATAACTGTTAACGAAGGTAGTATATGGCCTGGTGTTTGTCAATATCTCTCAAAGTAGAGAGGAAAAATGTCTAATAGTTGCAGATAACTGTTAACGGAAGTAGTATATGATAACTGTTAACGGAAGTAGTATATGGCCTGGTGTTTATAACGTATAAGCATATATATTTTTTAGAGTAAAAAGGGGTACGGTAGAATTAATCATGTTTTGTAAATTTAAGGCGAAAATAATAAATTTTACCTGAAAGAAAGGATGGACGAAATCGCCTTCTACAAAGTCCTCTCCTAAACCAAATAATAATAATTCAATCAATACCTAAGCAATATAATTTACAGCAATATTAACTTACTTTAAAAAATTAATTTAAAATTGTGACCTTTTTGTCATCTTGACTTTTGATACCATGTTAAAAGATTAAATTGACCAAATAAAATACTTTACGCATAAGTATCTAATTTTAATACATATATAAAAAAAAAAAGTTTAATTAAAATTAGTGGCCTTAATGCTCTTCTTTTATTAACGGAGATAGTATGATCAAGGGATGATATCGCCAGGATAAGTTAATGGCCTTAATGCTCGATTGGAGGAAGTATGAGTGTGACTATCTATCTAGCTCCGTGTACAGATGTACGTACAGCGTACTAGTATGTTTCCATTTGAACGAAGTAGTAAACTGAAAAGTGTATGTATGAATTAATGGAGCCATGGAAGCACTTTGAACAACCTCATACTCATCATTATGCTTATAGTGCTTTCATGTAAAAATTATACTACTTTCATTTCATATTTTTTGCAAATTTAGAATATTAATTGTGAGGTATAAAATATTTCAAAGTTATAAAAAATATAAAATGGAGATAGTATATATTGACGGTTATGAATCTGTCATTGCATAGATCTGATAGACGTGAACTTGTGTCACCTACTTTGTTAAAATACATACGTCGTTACTCTTTTTTCTTTTCGAATGAGTCGCAAGGAAATACAAATATATAAATAAATGCATTGAACTTCAAGACCTCATTCGTTTAATCTAAAAATATTATTTTCTCTGTTATTTCTTTAATTGATTTGTCATCTTATTTGCAATATTGGTACTATTCAGAAGACAGAGAAAATTTTCTAAATTACTTTTATTCTAATATGTACAACATAACATAGTCATATTGCATCTTATTAATTCATTCGTCTTAATAAATAGTATGTTTATTAATGATCAATAGTTATAATTTTTACTAACTAGCTAGCACTATAAGCACAAGAGGCACGTGCTATTACTGATTTCTATTTATTTTTTAGAAATAAAAATATACAAGATTACAATTAAATATGTCTTCTATTTAGAAATAAAAATGTACAATATTACAATAAAAAATATGAATCAGAATGGGAAGAAGGGGAAGGAGCCCTCGATCCGCATAAATTAACAAAATAGGAAATTAAAATTAACCGTCTATGAAGGGATTTTATATGTTATGGTTACATAAAAAAACCACCTTCTTTGTTTTCTCTTTCAGATTCTCCTCTCCTCCAATCTCTCTCTTGTGTTTTCTCCTCTTCTCTTATGATCTTTTTTTCTTGGCTTCTTTTTTTCTTAATTTAAAGCATGTATTCCTTTCTTTTTGCCGTCGCCGTCGCCATCGCCGCTTCCTCCACCTCCGCTTTCCTTGCTGCCGCCGACGCGCAGCCTTCGCTGATACCGGCTCCTCCTCCGAAGCAACCCCTTCATCTTATTCTCTCTTTAGTTTCAAAAGGATGATTATCAAAGGGTTGGAAATTTAACAAGATTTTCCATCCAGCTCTTGTTTTTTATATCATGTATGCATGTCGGCTGTGATATTATGGGTTTTTCCTTTGATTTCGTTTTCTATGCTTCAATCCATTTCAATTTGAAGTTGGTTGGAAACACTACAAGAAAACAGGTCATTTCTGATGGAATGACGGAATCACCTTGAGTTCCGTCGGAAAACCCGTTTCCGACGGAAATTCCATCGGAAACGGTTGTCGAAAGTGCTGTTGTCGGAAAAACGACCTTTTCCAATGGAATTTCCGTCGAAAACACTTTTCCGACGGAATATTTCTGTCGAAAGGGGTATTCCGGCATCGGAAAAGTCGGTCGAAAAATTCCGACGGAATGTAAATCCGCCGAAAATTTTCGACGGAAATTACTTCGGAAATTGCTTTAATAAAAACAAAAACAAAAAGGGCTCCCACCACCCCGCCACCAGCCTACACCACTAGCTTAACCAGAACCCATCCACCAGACCCACCTATCCACGAAACCACCCACAACCACCACACAGACCCACGCCGCCAAACCCACAACCACCACATAGACCACCTGAAACCAAACAAAAAAACCCAAAACCACCCAAAAAAACCCGAAACCACTCAGATCTAGAACAAACGGCCACCCACAACAACTTAAAATCCATAAATTAAAAAGAAAACAAAGAAAAAAACTAAGAAAAGCAAAAAAATTAAAACAAAACACATACCTTGAATTGAAATGACTTTGAATTTCACCACGAAAACGGTTTAACAAGGCCAAATTCGACCATGAAAAGTCTAGATCTAGGCTTCTAATGGTCGAATTTGGCCTAAAAAACCTTTAAAATAATCAAAACAAAACTCATGGTGGTGGTGTTGATTGCGCAGCGGCGGTGGTGGTGTTGGTTGCGCAGCGGCGGTGGTGGTGTTGGTTGCTCAGCGGTGGTGTTGGTGTGCGTGAGAAAGAGAAGGAGAAGAGAGGAGAACTAAGAAGGAGAAGAGAAGAGAAATGAATTAAAGGAAGGAGAAGAGAGAGAAAGAGAGGGCGGAGGAGAGAGAAGGAGGGAGGAGAGAGAAAGGGGAAGAGAAGAGGAAAGCGGAGAGGAGAAATAGAGAGAAAAGAAATGAAGGAAGGAGAAGGAGAATAGAGAGAAAGAGAGGGCGGAGGAGAGAGAAGGAGGGAGGAGAGAAGGGGGAAGAGAAGAGGAAAGAGAGAGAAAAGATCAGAGAGATGAAATGAAGGGGGAGAACCGATTTTTTTTTATATATTTAATTCCGTCGTGAAAATAAGAAATTCCGACGGATTTTAATTCTGTCGAAAATTTCGGACGGATTGTTAAAATTCGTCGGAAACTTCCGACAGAATAAAAATATGTCGGAATTTTTGATTTTTCCGATGGAAATACGTGTCCGTTGGAAACAGTCCGTCTGAAATCGACCTATTTCAAGTTGGTGGAATTCGAAAAGCCTTGGTTCCACGTACCGACTTCGCTGTCACCATCGACGCCTCTGCCGTCACCACAGATGCCTCTACCGCCACCGACTTTGCGTCTCAGCCTCCGTCTAATTGTCAGCAAACCTCTTTGGGTCATAATATTTTACAATATTTATTTTACTTTAGTTTAGCTTCCTTTGGAAACTTTTTGTATAGCTTCCTTGAGAAACTTTAGTTTGTAATTAATTTTTTTTTAGTTATCTATTAGTCTGATCTTGTGGTAGGTGGACTTTTAGATTTTAATGGCCCTTTCCTATAATAGGGGATTATTAAACCGTGTATTTTACCTTTCAAAAAAAAATTATGTTATGGTTACATTGTTTGTTTTGTGTCGTAAAGGCAACATAATCTACAACCCTATTAGTTTCCCAGTATGTAGATGTGTTTTTTACCATGAAAAACGAATTGACTCTTACATGTCATTAATTATAACGGTGTAAACGAGTCAAATGATGTACTAGTGTATTCTTTATAGTGGAGTTAACATAAATAAGCTAATAAAAAACACATGCAATGTGACATAATGTCATTTATAATTATCTGTATGATTTATCTTCTTTGTTTTGAATCTCTATTATTAGAAATGTAAAATAGAAATGGAACTAATTAGTGATAGAGTATATATAAAACCAATCCTAGGCTTTACTCATGGTCAGGACTTCGAATCTCATCCACTCCCACTTTCAAGTGGAATATTTCATGCAGGATATACGAATTAAGGGTCCATGATGTATCCAAATTTCAAACTCAGATCAAATGGCTCTCATGTGAGGGGGCGTGATAATGAATATAAACCAATATTGAGCTTTAACCATCAATTTAATCTTTTGGTTGAAATGGTCATCTAATAGTGATAACACATTTATATACTCATTTTTATATGTTATATTTGGGTGTTTCTATCATATTTTCTCTATATATTTAATCTTTTAGAGCTATTTTTCTTTATATTTCGATATTGCTCTCCTTGTGCTTTCTTTCTTTGTTTTGTAGGATTTATGCCTAGAAAAGCGCATTTGCAAGCTAAGTTGAGTTAGGAGCATCTAGAAGATTATGAGTTTGACATCATATGATCACATTCCAAGCTTGAAGTTGCATTTGCATGAGCATAGTGAGGAAATTGCTTAGCCTTGGCCTGGTTGTGGCTTGTTGCATTAAGCCTTGGGTTAGTCGTGGCTCCTCCGTTTGTGCTCAAGAAAAATACACCAATGCAGTAGACACCACGGGTAGGTCGTGGATAGCTTAAATGCAGCGTTTTGGATAAGTTTTTCTGACTTTGAAGACTCCTAATTCCACTTTACTTACTTCCTTAATGCTAATGCTAATATATAGCTTATCTTTAGGGGTTAATAAGGGGGTTCTGCCGCAAGCAACCATCCACTTGATTAGAAATTTTAGAGTTTGTTATCCTCCTTTAATCTTTTAACTATGTTTGAGTAGTATTTTATTCTAGGGTTAGGTTGAACCCTAGCCATGATTGATACTTGATTTATTCTTTTAAATTATCAATTTATTATTTATATTGTTAATTGATTGTGCTTATGCCAATACTAGAATAAGGATAATTGGTATTGTTATTATTCCATCGTCTTGACCGCAACGGAAGTTGGGTTTTGACAAATTTGAATAGATTAATTAAGGGTATGAAATTCTCCACGGAAGTAGGTAGAATGGATTGTTAGGAAGTTAGAGTGCCGGACTTAATGTCTTTAATTTGCATGATTCCACGGAAATAGGTTTGATTGTTAATTAAGGAAGCCATTGACAACTCGAGAGAGATCTTTGGTATTTTATAGGGTGTGCCTTTCCTTGTGAACATATAATTGATTGATTGGGGTAAGAATTTGTCTTGTATTGATTATGCTAGTGGTGATACTTAATTCTAGATGTTTTTATTATTTGATTTTCTTTTATTAGTAATAGTATAATAATTCCAACCCTTTATTTATTTGACTCAACTATTATTATTCATAGCAAACCAATATTGATAATACCTTCTCTGTGGGATCGATCCTGACTTACCTTACTACATATTAGGAGGATTAGTTAGGCTTTTATTATTTGTGGGTGTGCGATCGCCTATCAAATAACAATTAGATTAGTAAATTTATTACAAATGATATATTTTGCAAATAGAAAACATTCATATTGTTTAGATTATAAATTGTACTCCGCACATATTTAACATAATTGTATAATTACTTAATTAGGCATGACCGATTGACAGTATGATCTGTTTCTATGCAAAAGCCACCTCCCAAAATAAAAAAATTGAAAAAAAAACGTGTCAAATTATCATGTCATGGTATGTTACGTGTAGCTTGTTATACACATGGAGAGTGCCGATGTTACATCTGTCAAAAATTTCTACTCATATAAAAGTAACCAATAGTTTTATGTTTGCTTCATAATCAAATTAATACTCATAATTCTATATCAAATTAACCTCTCTTTTGCTAAAGTTGGCAAGCTAAAATTTCAAGGAAGTCAATAATGAAGCCATTTGCAGCCTTTGTTCTTATCTTCTTGCTTGCCTTGACTTTAGGTATAGCTTCCATTTCTCCCCTTATCAATTTTGTTATGCAATGTATGTTATAATGCTACACGCATAGTGGTCAATGTTAAATTTATTTCACAAAATTACTAGTCGGGCCGGGCTTGCATGCATTGTATAAATGTGGATTTGTAGGATAGATCATATAATATAACATGTCACGAAGTATTAATTTTAATTAACTTAAATTATATTATGGTAATCATATTTCAATCAATCACTATAACATTTAAAAATTATTTTAGCGTAATTTTTACTGCCTCTAAATTCGTGTGACAAGGTTTTAATTGTGGCTAATTAATAATGTGATTTGTAGAGGGGGTGGGTCCAAGAGTGGCAGAAGGATTCTTGGGAATTGGAAAGAAATGCAAAGTTCCAAGTACAACCAAAAAAGGGCCATGCGCAAGTGATTCCAACTGTGACGCCATTTGCAGGGCGGAGGGAATGAGAGCAGGAATTTGCCATGGCTTTCGCAGAAGATGCCTTTGCTGTCCTCGTTAGGGTTCCGTCATCGGCTATGACGACTATCTACTCTCTTCGTCGGAAATTAATAGTCATATTATTTGAACTACCGTTCAAATTATATACTAATGTAACAAGTAATTAAACCGGACCATCTATCTATCTACGTATTTAAATTAGCTCCATGCACTAGCAATTTGTTTAATCTTATATATTTTGGGCGAAAGAATAAAATTCTAGCTAGTTTCTATGTGTTGTATGAGTTGTTTTCTTGTAAAATAAAAGGGCGCATCATGAATGGAGCCATGTAGGCGTTACCTTTGATTAATATATTTTCTACTCATGAATGTGTTAAAAGTTGCTTACATAAGTGATAAAAGTTCATTCAAAGGTCGATTGACCATGACCTTATAATGTTAACTTATAAGGGTGTAAACGAGTCGAATCGAGTATTAAATTGATCGGACTATTTCATCAGTATACTTGAAGCTATTGCCAAATCTTGGGAGTACTAGTTGGCGTCATTTATACCAAGGTTGAATGGAAACTTACGTGCTATAATTCTATGAAGATGCTTCAAAACATCACACATGCTAAGCAACCTCCTCTTCTGAAAATCTGAAATCAAACTCGATGATATGGAGTATGTGTCTTGGGAATTGTCCAACTTACAATTCTACCAAACATTCACCATTCAAGCAATTAATGTGCGTAGTATTTAGTTTTAGTTACTTTACCTAAATACTACCTAGTAACAAATTCAAGAATGAAAAGAATTTTACGGCCTTATATTTTATAGGAAAATTTGATTTTAATAATCTCACTTTTAACCGGTTCGCTGATAATAATCTCATCTTTTGATTATTATCTAATAATAATCCTACCTTTGAGGGTATTCTCTTTTAATGGTCCCTTATGACCGGTAACTTGTTGTTTGGGTAAGTTTTTTTTTTTTTTAAAAAAACAAAATCCTTAGCCACCAGGAGGTAAGAAAAAATATTAATTTTTTTATTTTTGTTTTCATAAGGAAGAAGGAAAGGGAAAAAAATTTGCTTTTTAATTTTTTTTTAAAAGAAATATAAAAAATATTTTTTTTAAAAAAAATAAAATAAAAAATCCTTGGCCATCAGGTGGTAAAGAAAAAAATTAATTTAATTTTTTATTTTTGTTTTCAAAACGATAAGGAAGAAGAAAAGGGGAAAAAAATTACTTTTTAAATTTTTTTTATAAGAAATATAAAAAAATATATATTTTTTTTAAAAAGAAATATATTTTTTTAAAAAAGAAATATAAAAAAATATATATTTTTTCAAAAAAAAAATCCTTGGCCACCAAGAGGTAAGAAAAAAAAATTAATTTTTTTATTTTTGTTTTCAAAACGATAAGGAAGAAGGAAAGGGGAAAAAAAATTACTTTTTAAATTTTTTTTAAAAGAAATATATAAAATATATATTTTTTAATAAAAGAAATATAAAAAAATATATTTTTTAAAAAAAAATCCTTGGCCACCAAGAGGTAAGAAAAAAAAATTAATTTTTTTTATTTTTGTTTTCAAAACAATAAGGAAGAAGGAAAGGGAAAAAAATTACTTTTTAAATTTTTTTTAAAAGAAATATAAAAAAATATTTCGACGAATCACAAAGTGACACGTGGCATATTAACCCATTAAACCGGTCACCAACAGGTTAGGGACCATTAGAAGAGAATGTCCCCTAAAAGTGGGATTATTAGATAATAATCAAAAGGTGGGATTATTAGCAGCGAACCGGACAAAGGTGGGATTATTAGAAATTATAGGTGTAGATTTTTTCGACTAAAATTCGTTTGCATACTTTTGTAGTCAATGTGCATGACTTTTTATTTTTTATTTTTTCAAAAACCTAAAATATATATGCACATTTATCCTTCTCATTATTTTACAAATAATTAAACTTTTTTGTTCTTCACCTCTTAGGTTAATGCCGTATATGTACAGTACAACTCTAATCATACAAGTCAAATCATTATTCTACAATGATGATCTTGTATGTAATCTCAGCTCTAACCATTACTCCGTATTCTACTAAGATCTTATATACTTTTTCCTATTATAAATATGATCTCATATGTACCCGCATATATATGCTTTAATTTTGTAGTTGATATACTTCTTCTACTTATAAATACATACAATAGCTTTTCTATCAAAAGTTACGCATTAATCACTTAATCATGATTAATATAATCTACCCAAATTATTGTGCGAGGTGGATAACAATACAATTTTTTTTATTTTTTTGTCACAGGGAAGAAACATGAGGATTTTGATGTATAACAAATTCCACTTACCACTCAACTAATTAACGAGATTATTGCAATGACTATTTATTTTTAGATAATTGGGTGATTATGGTCTTTATCGACTTTAGAATCTAGATCGGCCTAAATCATGAGTATAAGGTCAATGATAACATACTTTCTCGTTGACAAGCAAGGTTGTTTGGCTGTTCGCTAATAAAATTAAGGTAAAATTAAAGAGTTGAAATTTGTGACAAAAAACTTTAACCATACTTGGTAAATGTTAATGAATCTTATCAAAGATATTAAATTATTAACTATTAAAGTCGTAGATCAATGTCTATGTAGATTTGATGCGGTATTAACAATTCGGAAACACAATAAATCAAACATCAAAGGAATATGAAATACTAATAAGAAATAACTAAACTTTATAACTTTTATTATCACCATATATAATAAGAAATATGCAACCCTTAGAACTAAGTACTAAAAACCCGCTTATTCTTCAAACTTACTAATTAATAAAGTACTATCTATGAACATCAACATCATAATTTATTTAAGTATCACTAATATGTTCTAAAACTCCTCGAGCTAGATAAGATAATTACTACTCATCAATACTTAATTAGCATGAGATGAAGTACGACTACCACTAAAGCACTCTGCCTTAACAAGAGCTTGAATAAGAGTATTGTCAATTTTCTTAAGGCCTGAGCAAAATTCTGCACTAAAAGAAATTTTGTGATTCTTAAATAATTGTTGAAGATGCATCAAGGTAGCCTTAGCCTGCGTCGCATCATTGGCAGGTGGTGTTCCAGGACCGGAACTTGGTGCACCGGGGAATGGAAAGATTGGGAACTTAGGGTGTGGGAAAGGAAATGAAGGGAATCCAGGACCGGAACTTGGTGCACCTGGGAACGGGAACTTAGGGTGTGGGAATGGAAATGATGGGAAGCCAGGACCGGAACTTGGTGCACCAGGATGTGGGAATGGAAATGAAGGGAAGCCGGGACTGGAACTTGGTGCACCGGGCCATGGGAACCTAAACCCGGGGCCAGGGTGTGGGAAAGGGAATCGAGGATGTGGGAACCCGAACCCAGGCCGCCCAAACCCCCATTCCGGGTTTGCAGCTTCAGTCTTTTGTTCTAGGGCAAATGTTGTTTTTGCTAGGAAAAGAGTAAAGAGAATAGCTAATAAGGTAATCTTCATTTTTTTTTTGGATTGTGAGTTAGGGCTTTTTTGTTTCTCTTTTGCTGTGATATGATGAGTGATATGATGAGTGATATTTTGGAATGAAGGTTGAAGGGTTTGGAATGAAGGTTGAAGGGTATTTATAATGTTAATGAGGGTGATTATTGTGAAGATTATCTCTTAAAACAATTTTTTTTTTACACCAAAATAAATTATCTTTTTGTTAGTTGAGAATGAGATATAGTCGAGGTTAGTTCCATTTGCAGAGTTTCGAGTGTATTGTGGATTAATATGGTACACATACATGCATATTATTTTTTTGAAGGAACTTTATCATTTTAACTTAAGTAGTTCAAAACTGCGGTATTTGTGGTGTGATAAGTTAAGTTTATTGATTCATAAAAAAAAAATTAAAATTAGAAAGTGGTGTGATAAGTTAAGTTTATTGATTCATTTTTAGTCCTATATTTGTACTTTCTATATTAATTTATTATACTGTACTTATCTCTCATTTTTATTTTTTTTATTTTTTACCAATATACTAGTTATCTTTTCTTATTAACTCTTGACAACTTGACAAGTACTACGTAGTTATCAATGCAAGTTATGTTTATACAAACACTATCATGATTAATTAGTTGATTTCATATGTATCCATGGTTAGATATATATCACCACAGTATATTAATTTTTTTTTATAAATTTGATAAGGTTAATATAACCGTTGATCTAATTGAATAGATTGTTGTAGCCCCTTGATCGGTTATTTGTGGATCGGGAGTCATGCATTGCTCTTATTATTTATGTTATTATGTATAATAAGGTCTAATATTTATGGATCCGTACGTATTCATGAATTGCTCTTTAATTGGATGCTATTTTTTTAGGGAGTTTATTTGTGAACAATTGAATGTTATGATGAAGTTAGCCCTACGTATTTATAAGGGTTTGTTGTAGTAGAGCTCATCGGTTTATTTCTTTTAGGCCAAGTTTAGGAAAGGTTTTTTTCTTTATCCCAAAGTTATGAATGACATAACCAAATTGGGTTAAGGAAAGTTTAAGAAATTATTGTTTTACCAAAACTTAAACTAGATACTGGGACAATTGTTTGTAATCATCACAAACAAATTAAATTAAGTGGTTTTTTAAATTAAATTTAAGTATACATCTTAGAAATTTATCAGGCTAAATCGTAATATAATTTTTTTTTTCTAACGATGCATATCTTTAACTCACGTCGTTTACCATGTAGTCACATAGATAAAAGATATAACTTATATTTCACTAACTTATTTTAAAAACTACTTTTCTTTTTTTGTGTATGAAAAAAAGTTAAATATGATAGGTTTCTTATCATTTTGTTACATGTATGTGATTTTGATTGATACTCTAGCTTTAGACTAACCCCCTCTTCTCCGGCTAGGGAATTGCTAGATTTTTCACATTCAATTTTTTTAGGCTTTTAATTTATTGGTTCGTTTATTTATTTTGAGTTAATAATCTACTGAAGCTTTTTTTTTTTTTTTTTTTACTCCAACAATTTTTTAAACCGTGTTATTATACTTGTAGTTATAACGATAATAGTTATTTTATGTTAGTTTGCATATTTATTTTTTGCAGTACATTTTAAGTAGGATCTTGAAAGAGCTTGATTTATGATTAATTAATAAGAATTAAAACATGAGTAAAATAGGGTATTCTGATCTAAAAGTAACCAACCATTAAAAAAGAATGTAGAATCCATTGTTATTTAACCAAACATGAGGTTTTCAATCCATACCTCCCTATTCTATACATCTAAAACCATTCCACTCCATACTCGTACGTTAAACCAAAGGAACCTTAGCTTTACGGTATTATCCTTGCCAAAATGACAAGTCTCGTAAAAGCAGTAATATCTAGTATAATCCTGCTTCATAAATAAAATTTCTTCAATAAGGTTTGGACTCAGTAAAATGAATTAACTCTCCTAGCCTCTTAGAAAATATAGCATACATTGAACCCCAATGTTGAGCAGAAAGCAAGCTAAAAAATTTAACGAACAGGTTAATCTAATCTTTAGATTTGACTTATTGTCAATCATGTTTCATGTATAACGACTGAGGGAACATTATATTAAATTAAGAATTAATCCTTCTAATTGCAATCGACAAGTATGACAACCATCAATCTAAAAAAATACTCCCACAGTAAAGTAAAAAAACAAGTATAATTACATGCGTAAAAATACATATTAATTTAGTTGATAAAGCCCCTAAACCCCCTACTAAAGTAATTTTTTAGCCCCTTTTTGAATATGTATGCTTGCTTGGTTTGGTCCTGCAAGTAACATTTTACCCTTTTTTTTTTTTATCTTTTCTTTAGTTTTCAATAAATTATGGTCATAATATAGAATTATGATTAGTGTATTTAATTACCTATACTATCTTATGTTCAAATTCGTTAAAAACTCTATTCCATTAGTAATTATTTCTAGATCCTTCACTGTTCAAGTATTAATAAGAATGTACCATCAAAAGAGGAAAAATTAGAATATGACTTTGGACTTTTTTTTAGTAAGTATTTCTTATTTGAGCTGTTAAATTAATTTATGTAACTAACTAAGTCATCAAGTAATGATTTTTTTTCTCCCTAAAAAAAATTAATTTTTTTTTTAATATTTTTGTCAATCTATGTGATGTCCATTTGTCCCCCCGTTTTAAATTTTCTAGCTCCGCTACTACTTTGAGTTGAGCTTTATAATTATGAGTTGTTTTTATAGTTTCTAGGTTTTATTTTATATGAATTGTTATAATGTTTTATAAGTTAGTATTGATAATACATGTGATATTTATAAGTTATATTGAGGTTTTGTTTTAATTTCATATTTATATGATTATATATGTATTACAATATTTAATAATATGTTTTATATTACTTAATAATATGTAACATACTTTATTGTTACTGTTTGGGCCTAATCCATTGTCCTAAGCCCAATGACCTGAAATGATGAAAATACCCTTCCATGATCCAGGCCATCATTAGTCATTGCAAAGTATAGATTTGCCCTTAATCTGTCCAGCTAAATACAACTTTGTCATCTGAAAGTACAACTATAAATAGTTCATCATTCATTAATGATGGGAACTTTTTCCTAATTATCTCTCCTTATCTCTCTACTTTCTCTCTCTAAGTACACTCTATCTACTTTCTCTCTTTAGAAAGTAAGTTCTCTAACTTAAGCATTGGAGGGGATTTCCCGAGTCACACCCCCGGGGCAGCTAACCTTCTATGTTTTGCAAGTCTAGCTCTCGGACATATCTGTGCAAGGCGGAGCTCTCAAACATACCTTTGTTAGGCGGAGCCAAAGGAAATTTGGAGAATACTTGGACTTAGTTTTTAGGACATCTTGATACCCTACCCTAACACCCCAAGGAGTAGTTTGTTTCCAGAAACAGGTGGCGCCGTATGTAGGGCTAACAAACTAAAAGCCGTGGTGAATGTTAAGCATCCCCGAAAGTCTCAAGATGCTACTAGACAAGCTTCAATTCTCTCGGCTTAACATGCTCATATAGTCGAAGAGATTGCACCCCAAGATCGGAGCGAGCTCGTTGGAGGGGTGACTAGCCCCCATGTAGTCACCCGTCGGGATTTGGAGCAGCTTGCAGCCCAAATCAACCAAAACCTTGAAGAGAGCCTAAGAGCCGCACTTGTCAACCAAGTCAGGGGGCAAGGTAGGATGGGGGATGCTCCTCAGCTTAATCCTCAACCTCACTTGTCCCTACTCCATCAAAGATCCTCTCGGCCTCAGCACCAAGAGTCCCATCGCTTGCGATCACGTTCATCTCATGTAGCCCAACGGGAGACAGGACAGCCAGCCGGCCAAGAGACGCTAGAGACATAATCAATGACCGAAGGCTGAGGGAAGAAACTTTGGATGCCCGTGACATAGTCAACTCGAGGCGGGAAAACTCTAAGGAAGATGATCTTCCCCAAGGAGGTCGAACTAAAATTCACTCTCATCATGACTCAACCAGATACCGTGATAGCTTACCTAACTCAGCCACTTAAAGGCAAAGAAGAAGAACCTCTACTCAGCCTGATCGCTCTGCAAGTCCGAGCGGGGGAGGCTTGGAGCTGTTAAGAACATCACTCCCTTCAGCCAAGAAATCATGAATACCCCGATTCCTCTTAAGGTCAAGATACCTACCTTGGAGCCCTATGATGGTAAAACTGACCCGACATACCATTTGAACGCTTACAAGGCACAAATGGGCCGGGTGTCCAAACCGGATGTGAGGCATCATGATGTAGGTTCTTTCCTACCATCCTCAAGGGCATTGCTCAGACTTGGTTCAATAACCTCGCCCCGGGGAGTATCAAGACATTGGAGAAGCCATCCACCTTGTTCAAGAAGCATTTCATCGCTAGTAAGGCCTTTTCTGCTATTAGGCTCAGTAGTCATTGTTTCCAAAATAAAGAAAATATCAGGTTTAAATTTGCTCTTAAGGCGGATTAATTCTGCCAAAATGAGTTATTTACTCATTTAATAAACAAATGAGTAAATAATTTTTACTCATTTGTTAACTAAATGAGTATAAATGACTTCGGGTGTACGGTACACATGGGTGTACATAATAGGCTCTCACAAAATACAGAGAAGTTTTAATAAAGTAGCTCTAATCTAATAATAGGAGAATGTTTTCAAAAATAAAATTAAAAAAATAATAGGAGAATGGAAAATAATTCTTCCACACAGACCCTAAACAAATCCATACCAAGGAAAAAAAATGAGTACCTAACAAAAGGACAGAAAACCCATTAGAGTCGTACATGATAGAAATAATGTTACAGACAAAGAGAAAGAAGCAAATAAAAGACAAAATAATATACAAAGAAGTAGCGCTTCCTAGGGCCTCACAGTTAGACACAACTACACAAGCAATTACGTAACAATGACAATTTTGTAAATAATGAAATTTTAAGAGTACTACTGAGAGGTAATATAGTACTACTGAACATTTACAATAGTACTATATATGATTTCAGTAGTACAAAAGACACTTTAAGTAGTACTTAAGAAAACATCTCAGTAGTACTAATAAAACTTTCAGTAATATAAAAGGGTGTTATGCAATTTTATTTGTGTCTAACGGTGATATATTAGGACTTTCTAAGAAGGGTAAAAAAGAGGAAACCCTTGAAGCCATAAAGGCAAAAAAGCAAGGGGCAGCAAAAAAGTAAAACCAAATAGACATAAGAATATTACTAAATAGACCAACTACATAGCAGGGGTTCAAACTAATAGCAATGGAAAACAAAGAATGAGCCCAAGAACTACATCGAAAAGTAAGAAAATGCAATTCCCTTTCTCTTAATATACAAGTTCTGCATATGTTTGTTGGAAATTTGAATGAGCTGATTGAACACATAAGTCATATACTTATTGAATTGGCCTTACATTGCTATGTTGATATTTGTAAGATCTTATTAGTGGGTTTTTTTTTGTAATTTGCAAGGATACCTTTTCTTTGTTGTTGAATAGAAAATGAAATTGTATATTATTTCAACTTTACAACTGAAGATAAATTAAACCAATATAGCTGATTACTGTAGGACCAATGATTCAGGGTGCATTACTATTGTTTCCTAATACTTCATTAGATAAATGTGCTTCTCTAATAAATGGTATTGTTATTAGATAAACACGCCACTTGAACTATATTATCCTAATTGAAAGCTTAATGATGAGCGGGAAGAAAACTAATGACTTGAGTGACTTAAGTATGTGCTAGCTAGTTAATTTATCCAATGGACTAACGTGTGCTTGATTATTTTATTTTTATTTTTTTATAATTTTATTTTTTTTGTAAATTTCTTTGTTCAATTATGCCTATATATATTATGCATGTATTTCTAAAACTATGCTAATAAATTTTCTCATTTTATAGTACTTCATGATAAGGATTACAATTATTATCCTCTTTTATTCTGGTATAGTTGTTGCCTATATTCAACAGTAATGTTCAATCATTGTTGATATTCTCAACAAATATGAAGCAACTTCCGAGCAAAAAAGAATAGTAGATGATAATATCAGATTATCTCATCAATTGTTATCCTTATCACTTCACGAACGAAATGATTCAAGTATGATCAAGACCAAATTGATGAAGTGAGAACTCAATAGGCGCAAGTTCTTCTCAAGTTAACATTTTAGGATACACAATTTTTATGGTGGATACATAACGTTTTTGTACTATAACTTTCAATATTTAAGATGTTGGTTTAAAGTTAAAAGTAGTTTATGAGATTGTATAGATTTTTTTTTTCTACTTTTAATGTTGGGTTTATGATAATTGATAATAGATTTTGCATATGATTTCCAAATTATAGACATTGTGATATTTATTTGCTATGTGAAATAAAATTGGTTTTGTTGATTTATTGTTTTTTAGTTATAATAATAATAATAATAATAATAATAATAATAATAATACTAATAATAATAATAATAATAATAATAATAATAATAATAATAATAATGTTTTTGGTAGAGGTTTAACCGCGCTCATATATTAAGTGCTACTAAATGAGGAAACATTAATAGTGCTTATTAAAACACTATAACAATTTTAGTAGCGCCTATGACTTACAGCACTTCATAAGCGTTATGTTTATTGAAAAAAAGCGCTATTAAAAGCCTTATGGTGTCGTACGGAGATAGGAAGCAAGAGAAACATAGCAAAGTAACTACACCACCAATCACAGGCACTAACATACACCAACCATACTACAATATTTCATAAGGAGTATGTGATTTAGCATTTTAGCCTATTCGAGGCAAAGAAAACCAATACCAAGTATATTCTAATGCCTCATTATTATCATCAAGAATAACCCATTAAGATTGGATAAAACTAAAGATTTGATCATTTCTTACACGGTTAATTTGAGCATTTATACACGATTAATTAGAGCCCTAAAACCTTGTTTATATTATTAATACGACACATATATACGAAAAAATATATTGTGAAATTTACACACCTAATTGATTTGACTGTCTATCTCGTGTTACATGGAGACATCAAATTTATTGACATCAAATTGAGGCATGGAGTTGAAGAAATGTTACTTGAAATATTATAATAACACCATCAAAAAAAATAAAAATCAGAGAGCATAAATTAAAAGATCATTACGTTAACGTAAATAAAATGCTACCTAAAAATTATTACTGTAGTACCATATATTAAACATCATGATTATCATGATTTATTCAAAAGCAATAAATAAATTGTTCTAATAACTAAACTCTGATCCCAATCAAATATCAAGTGCGAGTAGATGCTTTCTGAGAAGAAGGTGGAGGACACATACACTGCTTTGATAAGATCTTGAAGAGCAGGATTCTGGATTTTCTCAAGGGCTGAGCAACAATCCGGACTCAAGGAAATCTGATGATTCTTAAAAAAGTTTTGAAGATCTCCCAAGCAAGCCGCCAACCCATCATTCACGGGTGGTGGACTACTCCCACCACTGTTTGGTGCACCGGGAAGTGGGGGGAGTGGAGGGAGCTTTAATCCGGGGCTAGGAAATGGGGGGAGTGGGGGGAGCGGAGGGAGCTTAAATCCGGGGCTAGGCTTTGGGAGAGAAGGAGCGCTAGGAGGGCCACCGCTGCTTGGTGCACCGGGAAATGGGGGGAGCGGAGGAAGCTTAAATCCGGGGGCTAGGAAATGGAGGGAGTGGGGGGAGTGGAGGGAGCTTAAATCCGGGGCTAGGCTTTGGGAGAGAAGGAACGCTAGGAGGGCTACCACCGCTACTTGGTGCACCAGGGAATGGGGGGAGCGGAGGGAGCTTAAATCCGGGGCTAGGGAATGGGGGAAGTGAGGGGAGTGGAGGGAGCTTAAATCCAGACCACCACCGCTACTTGGTGCACCTGGAAATGGGATTGGAAAGTTAAATCCAGGACCATTGGTGGTCCAGGATTTGGAAAATTAAATCCAGGGCCAGGTTGTGGGAATGAAGGGAATCCAGGCCCATCGTTGTTTGGTGGTCCAGGGATTGGAAAATTAAATCCAGGGCCAGGATGTGGTAATCCAATAGGTAATCCAGAACCACCGCCACCGTTTGGTGGTCTAGGGATTGGAAATTTAAATCCAGGGCCAGGTTGTGGTAATCCGATAGGTAATCCAGGACCACCGCCACCGCTTGGTGGTCCAGGCAGGTTGTGGTAATCCGATAGGTAATCCAGGACTGCCGCCGCCGTTTGGTGGTCCAGGGTTTGGGAAATTAAATCCAGGGTCTTGTGGTAATCCGATGGGTAATCCAGGGTTAGGTTGTGGTAATCCAGGCTGTGAGAATTCGATAGGTGGGTTATCAGCAAATACACATTCTGCCAACAAAATAGTTAGAAGAAATGCAAAGATGATCTTCATTTTTTCGTTGTAAGCAGTGGCGGACTTGGGCTTAGACCTGGTGGGTCAAGTGACTCACCAGGCCCAAAAAAAAATTTTAAGTTATTTAAAAAAAAAAAAAAAAAAAAAAAAAAAAAAAAAAAAAAAAAAATTAAAATCAGTTACAGCCTTACAGGAGAGACGGAGAGTTCAAGGCTTTCAAAGTTTCAAGCCCTAGCCTCTTCGTGCTCTGGCTTCTCCTTCTCCGCCAGTCCGCCTAATCGCCTCTTCGTGCTCTGGCTTCTCCTTCTCCTTCAGTCCTTCTCCGCCTAATCGCCTCCATTCTTCTCTTCGTGAATCGTGAGTCGTGACTTCGCCTTCTCCGCCTAATCGCCTCCATTGTTAATCGGCTCATCTCCGTTCTTCTGTTCGTGACTTCGCGTCCGAGGTTGTGGAAGATGACTAATTGACTTTCCCATCGTCACATTTATCAGGTTCGATCTTGTTTCTCTCATTCTCTGTCTTGATTTAGTTTCAAATTTTTGGGTTTGATTGTCGTGGATTTTTGCATATATGTTCCTGTTGTTTTCGACATGTTCAATCATCAATGTGTATTCGAATTTTTTTGGTTCAATCTTTGTGGGTGTATTTCAGCAAAATCGCTTCGTTTTTATTGGGGTTTATTTGATCATTATTTGTTTTCGATTTTTTGGCTTTATTTGGTCGATTGGTTTTCGATTATTTTGGGGTTTATTTGATCGATTTGTTTTCGATTTTTTGACTTTATTTGGTCGATTGGCTTTCGATTGTTTTGGGGTTTATTTGATTGATTTGTTTTCGATTTTTTTGTCTTTATTTGTTCAATTGGTTTTCGATTATTTTAGGCATCATCCAACCACTAGCTTATCTTTACTAATGCTGTGAGAAATTGACAAAAATGCCAAGCAATCCCACATTATCTTTACTAATTCTTGTTACTCAGCTTGAGTAACGGGAATTTCCCCATTTGTTAGTTGTTACAAAACCATTTTGTTTATTAGATTCCAAAGATTATTAGTTCTACAGTTCTAAGTAAGAAGTGATAAGTGTCCTTACCACAAAATAAAAAAAATGCTAAGTGTGACTAAAACTATTGCAAAGTAATTATAAAATCACGTCCCCAACTAAAAACAATAATCTAAATTACCCTAACCTAGCTTATTTTCAATTAAAAGTCACGTAGCAAATTTCAGAATCGTTGATCAAAGTATTTACATAACAATCTTACACTATTAAATCATTTCAACAATACCCTCCAATATATATTTAGGTGTTCCCCTCGTGAAGAGGATCTCATAATGTTCCATTTTCATTACACTTAAAAAAAAAGCTCTCTTTGATCATATTTATTGTTTTTTACCTAAACGAAAACATTTCCTCATCCGATATTACACTTAAATTAGGGTATGAAACTTGGTATTCAAATACTTTAATGTTCCTGCTTCTTTATTTGATTGTCATTTTGAATAGAATTGTGCTAATTAATCATCTAATGATTCACTCCGCTTATTGTGCTTCCCATCCTTAAGTATGTAGACATTTGATTATTTATTTCCCATTAAAAGGTGCTTACACTGTTACACATGTTATGTAAAGTATTTGGCTTGTCAAATTTGGATATCTTTTCTGTTGATCTTTGGGTCAAAGTCTCTTATGAGATCCCTTGATTTTAGATATATATTTGATGCACAGAGTCTATTACTTGATTCTTTTTATATCTGGCTGCGTTTGATCTAGCTCCCTTGTCTGACTGGTGTCCATTATGAATTGCTTGATTTAGACCATTTAGTTGAATATTTATTCAAATAATTTTTCTGAGGAATATTGCTTGATTTAGTTCAATATTTATTCAAATTTCAGAATGAAGAGAAAACATACTCCAAATGAAATGCAAAACATTACTAGCTTCTTTGCTAAAAAAAATCCTACTCCAACTTCTCTTCCACATCCAACACAAAATGAACAAACTATAACTCCACCTCAACAAAGTGAGCAAATTTCATCTCCATCTCATTATTCAACTCAAAATTCCCCTCAAAATGAACAAGGCCAATGTTCTCCTAATGCCCCAATCTTTGGAGAAAGATTAAGTGAACATGAATTTGCTAATCTTCCACAAGATCCAGGAAAGAGGAGAAAAATGAGTCAATTTCATAAAGATGATAGAGATTTAGTGAGAAGAATTTACATTCAAAGAAAGCCTTGTCAGCCCAAAGACTTTACATTTCCTCAAACTTCTATTTTTGGCAAAAATCGTCGCTTTTGTGCTAAGTGGTTTGATACTTGGACTTGGCTTGAGTATAGTGTGGAAAAGGATGCTGCCTATTGTTTCCCTTGTTATCTATTCAAGGATGAAAATGCCTTTGGAGGTGATGCTTTTGTTAGTGATGGTTTCAAATCATGGAATCGATCGGATTTAATAAGAAAACATGTCGGTAAACACTTGAGTGCACATAATAATGCTGTTTTAGCTATGGATTTGTTCAAGAAACAAAATTCAAGCATCACACAAGCCTTAACAAAACAAACCGCTGAGAGTACAAATGCATATAGGACGCGACTTGAAGCTTCAATTGAATCTATCCAATGGATTTTACTCCAAGGGTTGCCTTTCCGTGGTCATGATGAAAAAGAAAGTTCCTTAAGAAGAGGTAACTTTCTTTCACTTTTATCCCTTATTTCCAAAGGTAATCCTGAATATTCTAAAGTTGTTTTCAAAAATGCTCCTAGTAATTGTCAACTTACTTCTCCTAAAGTCCAAAAAGATATCATAAATGCATGTGCAAAAGAGACCACTAAAGCAATGCTTGAAGATATTGATGGTGGTTTATTTTCTATCCTTGCTGATGAGTCCGCTGATGTTTCTGACAAGGAACAATTGGCTCTTTGTTTGAGATATGTTAATAGAAAGGGAGAAGTGTGTGAGCGTTTACTTGGTATTGTGCATGTTGTAAACACTGCTTCTTTGACTCTCAAAACTGCTATTGAATCCTTATTAATGGAGCATTCTTTGTCTTTCTCTCAAGTACGGGGTCAGGGTTATGATGGGGCAAGTAATATGCAAGGTTCTATTAATGGCCTTAGGACTCTTATAGAGAATGAGTGTAAAGAAGCTTATTTTGTCCACTGCTTTGCTCACCAACTTCAATTAACTCAAGTTGCACTTGCTAAAAAGAATTCAGATTGTGCTTGGTTATTTGTTGATGTACTTGCACCTCTCTTGAATTTTGTGGGGGGTTCACCAAAAAGGAAAGAGTTTCTTCGTGAAAATCAAGCTCAAAGAGTGGTGGATGCATTGTCTCTAGGTGAACTTGAAACGGGTTCAGGTTTAAATCAAGAACGTGGATTAGGTAGACCTTGTGATACTCGTTGGGGATCTCACTTCAAGACAATCTTGAATGTACTTGATTTATTCCCTGTAATCCTTGGTTCTCTTGAGGATATTGCAAAAGTATCTGATACAATAGATTCTAATAGAGCTCAAACACTTACAAATCTTCTGATGTCCTTTGATTTTGTGTTCGTGGCACACTTGATGGTTAGTATATTTGCGATAACAAATGCTTTGAATGTGGCCTTACAAAAGCACGATCAAGACATTGTGAATGCAATGGCCATGGTTAATGTAACCAAGACTAATTTGCAAAAAATGAGAGATGAAGGATGGGATTTTCATATGGAAAAGGTAATTTCTTTTATTGGTGACTATGACATTGCAGTTCCAGATATGGAGGCTAAATATGTTGTTCCCGGGAGGAGGTTGTTTAGAGGTAAATGCCCACAAGTGTTCAATCTACATCATTTTCGAGTTGAAGTTTTTTTTTGGTGTCATTGATCTTCAATTGCAAGAACTTGAAAATCGATTTCCCGAAATAACTAAAGAACTACTTGTGTGTATGTCTTGTTTGAGTCCTGTGGATCGTTTTTCTAAGTTTGATAAGGAAAAATTGATTAAGCTTGCAAAATTCTATCCTAATGAATTTCCAAGTTCAGAATTGATAGTCTTTGGTCATACACTTGATAGTTACATTTGTTCTGTTAGAGGAGATGAAAGGTTTTGGAATTTGAAGGGTCTTAGTGATCTTTCAATCAAATTGGTTGAAACGGGATTGTCTGAAACTCATGATAGGGTCTATTTACTTTTGAAATTGGTGTTGCTTCTTCCTGTCGCAACGGCAAGTGTGGAAAGAGTATTTTCTGGCATGAAGCAAGTGAAAGACAAACTACGAAATAGCATGGGAGATCAAATGTTGAATGATTGTTTAATTACTTATTTGGAGAATGATTTGTTTTTGAATGTTAGCATGGAAGATATCATGAATCGATATCAAAACATGAAAACTCGTCGAGAACTATTTTAATAAGTTTGCATTACTATTTAGTTGTCTTTTGTAGTATTATATGAACATTTGGTTGTATTTTGTACTGTTTGAATATTTGGATGTATTTTTTAGTACTATTATTTGGTTGTTTGGTAAAAAAAATTTTTTAACATATTTGATTATCGATTGTGACTCACCAGTCGGAAAATCCTGGGTCCGCCACTGGTTGTAAGGCTAGGGCTTTTTACTTTTGTGCTTAGAAGTGATGTGTGATATGATTTTGGAATGAAGTTTAAGGGGTATATATATTGTTAATGAGGATTATTAAGATAATTATTAAAAGTTGAATCAACTTTATCTTTTTTCCTTTTTTAATTAACTTTATCATTTCATATATTTCTAACTGACAAATTTATTTAATCATTTTTAGTCGTAAGGTACAAATTATGCACGTTGATTGCCAATTCTTATAGCTGCGCAGTACATACCATTGAAATACCTAGATAACAATCACTGTAAAAGTAGTTTGCACGCCTGAAAGTCGCACTATTATTTAAATCACTCGTCTATCTATATCCATATCCGTAGGTTCATCAATTTTTTTTGGAGGACTTATACATATCCGTATGGTTAATATAAGATAGTGCAAAACAGGATAGTGATAGAAAATATTCTAAAAAGATATTGATCAATATTAATAAGGTTACAATGAGAGTCTTAATCTTAATTAACAATATATATATATATATATAAGAATATCATAATAGTTATTTATGATTGATCATTGATCATACTTATATTATATGAGGAGTTGTTATAGTGCCCTTAATTAGTTATTTACAAATAGTTTATTTGTAAGCAATTGAATGATATGATGAAGCTAGCGGCTAGCCCTACGTAGTTATAAGGGTTCGTTGTAGTATAGGTTGCTTAATTTCTTTTAGGCCAAGTTTAGGAAGTTTTTTTGTTTTCTTTATCCGGTAGTTATGATGACATAATCAAATTGGGTTAATTAAACTAATACGGTGCATTAAATTATTACCGTCACTAACGAATTAAATGTTTTATTTTATAATAAAGTTAAGTATATACATCTCATAAATTTATTGGATATAAAACGCGATATAAAATAATTTCTTTATAGCTCACGTCATGTACTATGTAGTCATATAGATCGATATGATAAAGGAAATAACTTCATTAACTTATATTGAAAATGGATACTAGTGTTTTGTTTTATTTGTTGTGTGGAAAAAAAAAAGTTGTAAATAAACATGTTTCTTTCCACCCGAATTTCACTTAGGTCAAACTTGAACTAATCTTTTATTTTTTATTTTTTATTTAATATAAGGAACATTATTTTAAATTAAAGAGTTAAATCGTGCTAATTGCAAATTTTGCAATTGACCACCATGGTTAGTTGACAATTATATTTTACAACGTTTTCATAATTTCATAATTTTCTTATTTGGAGCATTTCATTTGTACTTGGTATCATTGACATCAGTTGTGAAATATGGTAAAACGTACAATCCAACAATTTAACTTAGGCAACTACTCAGGCTCATTTTTTTAATAGAGTATTTGTAGTTTTGCACAAAATTTCTCAAGAATTATCTACTTGAACATTTTAGAGAATTATTGACATTAGAAGCAACTTGAATATATGGTTCGTGAACATTCTAGAATATTATTATGGATACAAGAGTTTTGGAATTCCGACCATTTATTCCAAACTTCATCTTCAACTACAAATATGAGTCATGGACACTCAATATATACACGCAAGAAACCATAATAACAGATTGTTATACGTAACCATAAAAAATAAAAAATCAGATTGTTACACCGTTTATTTGATTTATTTTTTTAATCTGTTTCAATATTGTTGAGAGAATATTAATAGAATTATAGTCGAAACATGTTTACGTTATTGTGTGATATTTACAAACTAATAATAGGAACATGTTTACGTTGTATAAACTACAAAAGGATAAATATGTATTAAGCTTAACTCGTTTTCGTCGTTATTGCCCCGTGTAATGCACGACTTTATGAATATTTTTTTTGAAAAGAAAAATTAATTCATTAATAGATTAGTCATACGACATCTACAATACAAATCAAAACTAGTAAATACATACAATACAAACTGAATTAAATAATATTGTAATTTGACAAAACTACGATCGTTGTTATCTGGATTTGACATTTCTAAATGCCCTCTTTCACACCGTTGTTTAATACAGCTTTTCACGAGGGGGTCTTCTGATCTATTGTATTTTGGAATCGAACACCATTTGATACAATTGGTTGTAGATGTAGAATTAACCTCCACGGCGACATAGCACAACTCCTCATCAACAAATCAATTTTTCTTACCAAATTAAAAAACATAGCCCCAAAACTCTCAAAAAGAGAGAAAATTAACCCAATATACGGGTAGAAAACTCTCAAATAGAGAGACTACAATTATTGTAAGTATAAAGTAAAAATCTAGTAAGAAACTAAGAGATTAGGGCTTACCATCAACCAAAAGGTTGGTGGTAGCCCCTAGAAACAAGAATTTTTTTATTAAGGTTTTTGAGGAGGAAGAGAAAAAGATCTCCACGACTTTATGATTATGAGACTTGTAAATAATTAAAGTCAATTAAAATAAAGTTAGTTTAAATAAAATGACTTATATAACATTTTGTTTTGTGATTTGAATTCATTTCTTTCACAGTATTCATATTCACCACCTTGACCATTGTTTATATACATAGTTCAAATATTAACTTTTAAAGTTTTAATAATTAATCCTTATTGATAATTAACTAAATATATTAATAAATATATATAATTAGTGAAAGTTATGTAATGATAAGAGTTTTAGGCTCCTTTTTGTTTAAAAAAGAAAAAGTTTCAGGCTTAGGGGACTAACTCATCCTAAGACTAACTCATCCTAAGGGCAGCCTTAAGGGTGAACAAAAAAATAGTTCACAATGAGTGAACAAGTGAATGGGTGGCTTAATGGTGATCTCTATAATTGTTCATAGTGAATGGTTGTGGGATCGATTGCTGCTGCAAGCATTTGGACGAATTTATGGATTGTGGGCCCCACCCATTTTTATTTTTTTTTCAGGAAAAAAATAGAAAGCAGCGGCTGGGAGCGCGCCACTTGGCCCAGCCGCTGCTTGACACGTGTCACTGTTTTAAATAAATCCGTTGTAATTTTGCAACGGATATATTTTACAAAACACAAATAAAAAAAAAAAAAAATTACCAACGGCTCTATTTTTTTCCCCTCTATAAATAGATACCCATATTGCTATACTTTCTTCAACTTTGAAAATCCATTTCTTTCTACTATATTTTTCTCTTCAAAAATCCCCTCTATAATTACCAATATTATTATTATTATTATTATTATTATTATTATTATTATTATTATTATTATTATCATCGTTATTATTATCATTTTTATTATTATTATCGTTATTATTATTATTTCCTTTATTATTATTATCGTTATTATTATTATTTTTATTATTATTGTCGTTATTATTAAATTTTTATTTTTTCCAAATATAAATTATAATTATGGATGCTAATACCAACCCCAAAACAAATAGAAAAAAAATTTGGGTCAAAATATGATCCTTCAAGCTCGTTTTGCCATTATTAAAAAGTCGTCTTTGGCGTGGGATACCGACATACTCCACAATATCATGCTCGCCTGCATCATAATACATAATATGATCGTTGAAGATGAACGAGAGACGTATCAAAATAACGTTAATACCAATGAGTTTATGAATGCTGGAGGACGCTAATGAGGACACTACCGAGTACCGTACTGATCGTATTGTGGATATCGGCTTATACTTGTCTCGTAGAACAGAGATTGAGGATCAACAGACTCATTTGCAGCTAAAAAACGACTTGGTCGAACATATATGGAATAAATTTGGTAACAACGAAAACTTAGGCAACTAGGTTTACAACAAATGGTTATCCCTAAGGACATCTTACAAAACGATGTGTAGTTGTTTTTTTTTTTTAAATAAAATGTACTAGATTATAGTTGTAGAACTGTAATCACGATTTGTACCTCTTTTTTTTTTTTTTTTAATTAAAATTAGTTGCGTTGTTGTTTAAAAAATATTAATCACAAGAATTAGTTTTTTAAAAAGCTGATAAAAAAATGCGATAATTTCTTAATTAGTAATCACGATTAAAATATTAAATACGTCAATTAATTACATTGACATCGGGTTAATAAATTATAATTATGAAAAAAAAAAAATTATATTTACAAAAATAAAATAAGGTGGGGTAGGGAGTATTGATGATGAACCATTGTTTAGTGTTCATTGTTAAGAGTGAATATTGTAAATGGTTTGTTGGGTTGATGTGGATGAGAGAGAAATGATGATAGTGACCATGAACCATTTATTTGGGTTCACCAATAAAGATGCTCTTAAGGGTGAACAAAAAATAGTTCACAATGAGTGAACAAGTGAATGGGTGGCTTAATGGTGATCTCTATAATTGTTCATAGTGAATGGTTGTGGGATCGATTGCTGCTGCAAGCATTTGGACGAATTTATGGATTGTGGGCCCCACCCATTTTTATTTTTTTTTCAGAAAAAAATAGAAAGCAGCGGCTGGGAGCGCGCCACTTGGCCCAGCCGCTGCTTGACACGTGTCACTGTTTTAAATAAATCCGTTGTAATTTTGCAACGGATATATTTTACAAAACACAAATAAAAAAAAAAAAAAATTACCAACGGCTCTATTTTTTCCCCCTCTATAAATAGACACCCATATTGCTATACTTTCTTCAACTTTGAAAATCCATTTCTTTCTACTATATTTTTCTCTTCAAAAATCCCCTCTATAATTACCAATATTATTATTATTATTATTATTATTATTATTATTATTATTATTATTATTATTATTATTATTATTATTATTATTATTATTATTACTATTATCATCGTTATTATTATCATTTTTATTATTATTATCGTTATTATTATTATTTTCTTTATTATTATTATCGTTATTATTATTATTTTTATTATTATTGTCGTTATTATTAAATTTTTATTTTTTCCAAATATAAATTATAATTATGGATGCTAATACCAACCCCAAAACAAATAGAAAGAAGAAAAAAAATTTGGGTCAAAATATGATCCTTCAAGCTCGTTTTGCCATTATTAAAAAGTCGTCTTTGGCGTGGGATACCGACATACTCCACAATATCATGCTCGCCTGCATCATAATACATAATATGATCGTTGAAGATGAACGAGAGACGTATCAAAATAACGTTAATACCAATGAGTTTATGAATGCTGGAGGCAACGCTAATGAGGACACTACCGAGTACCGTACTGATCGTATTGTGGATATCGGCTTATACTTGTCTCGTAGAACAGAGATTGAGGATCAACAGACTCATTTGCAGCTAAAAAACGACTTGGTCGAACATATATGGAATAAATTTGGTAACAACGAAAACTTAGGCAACTAGGTTTACAACAAATGGTTATCCCTAAGGACATCTTACAAAACGATGTGTAGTTGTTTTTTTTTTTTAAATAAAATGTACTAGATTATAGTTGTAGAACTGTAATCACGATTTGTACCTCTTTTTTTTTTTGTTAATTAAAATTAGCTGCGTTGTTGTTTAAAAAATATTAATCACAAGAATTAGTTTTTTAAAAAGCTGATAAAAAAATGCGATAATTTCTTAATTAGTAATCACGATTAAAATATTAAATACGTCAATTAATTACATTGACATCGGGTTAATAAATTATAATTATGAAACAAAAAAAATTATATTTACAAAAATAAAATAAGGTGGGGTAGGGAGTATTGATGATGAACCATTGTTTAGTGTTCATTGTTAAGAGTGAATATTGTAAATGGTTTGTTGGGTTGATGTGGATGAGAGAGAAATGGTGATAGTGACCATGAACCATTTATTTGGGTTCACCAATAAAGATGCTCTTAAGGGTGAACAAAAAAATAGTTCACAATGAGTGAACAAGTGAATGGGTGGCTTAATGGTGATCTCTATAATTGTTCATAGTGAATGGTTGTGGGATCGATTGTTGCTGCAAGCATTTGGACAAATTTATGGATTGTGGGCCCCACCCATTTTTTTTTTTTCAGGAAAAAAATAGAAAGCAGCGGCTGGTGACACGTGTCACTGTTTTAAATAAATCCGTTGTAATTTTGCAACGGATATATTTTACAAAACACAAATAAAAAAAAATAAATAAATTACCAACGGCTCTATTTTTTTCCCCTCTATAAATAGACACCCATATTGCTATACTTTCTTCAACTTTGAAAATCCATTTCTTTCTACTATATTTACAAAAATAAAATAAGGTGGGGTAGGGAGTATTGATGATGAACCATTGTTTAGTGTTCATTGTTAAGAGTGAATATTGTAAATGGTTTGTTGGGTTGATGTGGATGAGAGAGAAATAGTGATAGTGACCCATGAACCATTTATTTGGGTTCACCAATAAAGATGCTCTAAGGACATCTTACAAAACGATGGGTAGTTGTTTTTTTTTTTATAAATAAAATGTACTAGATTATAGTTGTAGAACTGTAATCACGATTTGTACCTCTTTTTTTTTTGTGAATTAAAATTAGCTGCATTGTTGTTTAAAAAATATTAATCACAAGAATTAGTTTTTTAAAAAGCTGATAAAAAAATGCGATAATTTCTTAATTAGTAATCACGATTAAAATATTAAATACGTCAATTAATTACATTGACATCGGGTTAATAAATTATAATTATGAAACAAAAAAGATTATATTTACAAAAATAAAATAAGGTGGGGTAGGGAGTATTGATGATGAACCATTGTTTAGTGTTCATTGTTAAGAGTGAATATTGTAAATGATTTGTTGAGTTGATGTGGATGAGAGAGAAATGGTGATAGTGACCCATGAACCATTTATTTGGGTTCACCAATAAAGATGCTCTAAGGACTTGTTTTCTTCACCTAAAACAAGTAGATCTGCTCTAATTTTTTTAAGGTCTGATCTGGTCTGATATAAATTTTTATTATCTGGTCTGGTCTAATCTGATTTAACAATTTCACTAAATTTTGACCGCATTTTAATACTAATCTATACAGAAAAGCATTATCAAAATGAATCTTGTTAGCTTCATCTCAATATGAACTTTTCAAATATGTAATTTTTATAAATTTTAAAATACGCAATTAACAGATAATCAAAAGTTCTGAGCTGATATGAATATTTCTAACCTGATCTGATCTAATAGAATATATTAAAAAATAAGTAATAAATATCTAAAATAAGTTGAAGAGAACAAATAGTAAATAAATTACATAAATCTACCCGAGCTTTATCGTTCGTCGTCGGGTGGCAACTAACCTAATACACGTAAGTCCCCATTCCCCAACAACATAAGAGAAAGGACATGAAATGAGTAACAGAAAACGAAACATCAAAGTAGAGATATAACAGGAGAGAGAAAGAGAGTTCAACAACAATGGTGGCCATTTCACTGTACAGAGGAAACCTCCATAGATTACCTTCCGACGTACCAAGAAGGTGGTTGATGCCGACTCACGGTATATCTATCAAGGATTTCCGATCTCTTCTTTGCCGCCGTTCCAAGGCTCTCTCTCTTCTCCCTTCCTCTTCTTCTTCCGTCGTCGAAAACCCTAACCCTAATTTTAATTTGAATCCTGTGAATTCCTTACCGCCGCCTAATCAATCGGATTTCAAGGGTGTTGTAAACCCTAATTTGGGTCATGAACCATCTAGTAATGTTGAGGTTAGAATGAGTGATGCTGGTGATTCTGCGCAGTTGGATCATCCGCCATTGTTGATTGATGAGGATGTTAAGATGCTGGTTGAAATTAAAGAGAACGAGAATGAGAAGAAGGAGAAGGAGAAGGAGAGTGCTCCTGTTGTAGATAATCCAAATGCTACTACTTTAGAGGTCTAATTTCTTCTCCAATTTTATATTTTAATTTATTTCTTTCAATTTATTGTATTTTTGTGCTGAGATTTTATGCCAAATTGCCAATTTACTGTCAATTTTGATAATGTAGTTGACTGGTTTATGTGTTATTGTTTGAATTTGTATGTCTATACTTCTGTTGGAGCTATGCTGTTTGCTTGTTTTTCCTTTGGATGTTGTTCTTTGAATGGTAGTCGTCATTATGAACACTAGGCTTGCTAAGTTTAGCTTGCAACATAATGATGAAATTGTTTTGTGTGACATAGACTAGTAAAGAGGGTATTTTTATTTTTTATTTTTATGTCAGTAGAATGTTGCTCATGAGTTTTATGATAGAATAGTTCAGAAATTATATATGTAATCAATTCATAGAACTTTTGTGCTAGTGAGATGCTCCTGTTGATGGCCTGAAACTTGAAGTACATTATAGGACATTAGCTAATTTTTTTCCTTTTTCTCTTTGATAGTTTCAAGCATTTCCAATTTGCCATGTATCGATCTTTATCAAGCTTACAGTGGTAATTGTTTACCATTGAACACAGGGCGATGAAAAAGTTGATGAAAAAGAGAAGCGGAAGAGAGAGGTTGAGGAAAAATTGCATATATTAAATGAAAAGAAACACAATTTAGTACAAGCACTTAAGCAGGTAAGGCTTATTTATGCCTTGTCTGACTGGGTACTTTCCTTGCAGCTGTTGTCTATTACTTGCTAATGATGGCTCTAGATTTCTCTTTATTCATCTGTACGGGGTTTGTACTTACGTATAGGTTTTAGATATGTTTGTTTTGCATAACTTCAGCTCTTTGTTGCTGTTTGTTGAATGACTCATGTATGGATCTAGATTGCATATCATATCAGAGCAATTTCCTCCAGATTTATATTCCCTTGTTACTAATCTTATGGTTATACAAGTATCTTTTATCCTTGTAATTAGTCAAAGTCTTATATCATTTAGTTGAATGTTTCTTTCTGTGTCTTTAGGACTCATCTTGGTGTATATGGGTTTAGTAGCCACAATCTTGTCCACCATAGTAGCTTTTGTTTCCTCTGGTTTATGATCTAACTTCTTTCATATGTTACCCTTTCATTAATCCCTAACTTGACTTTTTTTTGGTTGCTTGTATAAAGATTTTGAGTGCAGAAGAAGAACTAAAGAGGCGAAGTAGTATGCAAGCAAGTCGACCTCCTCTTCCTCTTCAAGTGGATGTTTCAAATGACTCTGGGTCAATGACTCGTCATGCTACACCTAGAACAGGTTCAGAGGCAAATCTTAATGTTGATATGGAAGGAGGTGAAGGAGATGATGCTGTAAATAATAACCCACAATCTAGACAATTGCTCTGCATGAGCAGTACTTCACCCTCTGCAGAGTCTGCGCTCAGAAGAGCACCATATTTCCAGCATAATGCGGTAAATCTTTATCAACTTCATTATCTCACTTACTCTTCCTTCTATGGTATTGTAAAGTATTAAGGACGTGACTTGTGAAAACTGCAAGATGTGCAAAAATTTATCTGTTCACTTGATTTTCTGTCATTTCTAGCCAGTTACTTTACCTTTGTCCTTTGGTGGATGTGTGTAATTGTTGATCATTATGTCAAAGTAGCGCTAGTTTTAACTGTTCTATCCTTGTGAATATGTGGCTACTGCATCTTTAACATGACGCGCGCGGTGTTGGGGGGGGGGTGGTAAGTTTGTTTGGTGTATCCTGTATTGTTAATTTATATATAATCACATATTTGAGATCTGAAGTGTAATAGGCGATTTGGTTTTGATACAGGTTTAAAGTTGGATTAGGAAGTCTCTTTTGGTGATTATTTATGGAAACTTGTTAGTAAGAAGTTAATTTTTTTTTTTTTTTTAAATTTGGTTGTTGGATCTTTACAGCTTATTTAGTAGAGAATATGGCTGGAGAAGAAAGGAAGGGAAAGGAAATAAATGAATTTTGATTTGGTTTTATAATATATGTGGGATTTGGTAGTTAAGGAAAGGAAGATTGTAAACTTTCCAGTTTCTTTCTGTCCAAAATTGAAGAAATTTGAGACACTTAGGCTGAAAGAAAAATCTAAAAGTGTTATCCTTCTTTATTAGGATGAAATCTTCTTAGCCTCCTTTTACAAAAGTACGATTGAAGAGATTTCATCGATTAAGAATGAGTTTTATTTGGATGCTTGTTTGTCACATGACTCACATCTCAAGATATTATCACTGCAAGCCTTGTGAGTGGTTTCCTTTGATTTTTGAAGATAGGCATGCAATATTTTGTGACAGTATCATACTATGTGTTTAATTTATTGGGAACTGAAGACCTTTTATAATTGGGAAGTAAACAATGATTGAAGATGTGCACTGCAAATTGATTGAGGTTGTAGAATCTGTTGTTGTTCCAGGGGGAATTATGGATAACAAAATCTACATGAAAAAAGATTACCCACCAGGAAAGGAGTGAGAAGATTAGATATATGATTAGTATAATTGTTAAAAACTATTGTTGCATTGATGAACGGGGTGTCTTGTGGGGAGCTGCTGAACCTGATAAGATAATGATATAGTTTCAGTGGCATCCCCGTGTAAGGGAGGATGTATTACATGTATATATAATTCACATATAGGAAAATTCAAGTGATGCAAATTATTTTCAATCTTTCTCCATGAGGTAAAGTGGATTTTTTTTTTATTTTTAGATGGCCATGATATACAGGCCAAGTGTATACATGTACATGTGCACTACATAAATCAGCAATTTGGGAACAATGCCATCTTTGATGGGTGATTTTTCTGATTCTTGTCTATCGTGATTTGTTAATCAACCAGTTTAATTTGTAGAAAGAAATAATTCTTGTTTTGCTCTCTGCTAGTGTATTTTGATCATGACATCTTATTCAATTTATTGTATGATTAATAACTGTTCTGTTTAGCTGTCAGAAGTTCATGCTCTTTGGGAGCGTAAAATTATAAAACTATCAGTTGCATCCTGTATTCTTGGAATATATAGTAAAAAGTATTCAAGCTAGCTTTTCTTTGAATCTCTGGAAAGCCTCTTTTTAGACACAAGTGGCCTTTTAATACCGGATTATAGATCATTGAAATAGTAATCTGTAAATACGTTGTGTCCTGCATGAATGTCCTTTTAAGGTGTCTTTAAGACTTAAATACGGAGTAATGAAATTTGTTACTTTTTTGTGGCTCTATGGAGTATGTGATAATTATTTAATGAAGAAAATAAAGATCCATTAGTTACTCTTCAGCTCAGATGTTATTTGCTTGTGCAGGCTCCTCATCCTTCTTGAGCAGCATTGGTTGCTGCTGGCAGTCCCTCACGTTTTGCTCCCTCGGGAAATCAGGGTCACCCATCAAACTTGCCAACCGTGTCTGTATCTGGGACAAATTATTTTGCATCTTCACCTTCCCCTGCTGCTTCTGGTGGCTCTTCAGGGTTTTAGAGATGCCAGGCACCCAAGCCCATGGAATTAATGCCCTTGTATTCAATCTCAAGTTCAGACATACTAGGTGTATAAATTAGATAAGATTTGATGCTCGGTTTTGGTGGACAAAGCTTGATTTTGTTGATTGCTTGCAGTAAATTGTAGTATCTACTAGGTTAAAAAATTAAATTTGCAAATATAGACACGGCTGTACTGATTTAGTAGTATTTGTTTCTTGTACTACATATAGTTCCTGATGTATGGTGTTGTGCCATGGAATTTCGACGTACATTATTGTTAGCTCGGTTCTTGGTGTTCTTTGGGTTGTACATCAGGGTGATTTTTGTAATGGATGTAAATGAATTTGATAGAAAAAAAAACGGAATTTTACGCAATGAAATGTCTTTATAAGGCTGTGTAAAGTCCATTTTGGTTTGGCACCAACTCCTATATATATAACTGGGTACTCTCGTATTGAATAATGCAAATACATACTGCTTCTGCTTCTTCTTCTTCTCCATGTTTCTATTTATGTATCATCGAGGCATGTCTTTCCCAAGTAGATGATTTGGCTGAATCCTAGAAAGTTGAGCTTTATGGATTCTGGCTTGTTATTTAAGGCCTCGGCATATTTTCAGCAATGAACTACTCTCCAATTTCAGCTGGACCACGAATTTATACATAAGAATTTGACACATCCTGCGCAAACCTACACAGCCTGTGGATGGATAATAATCCAACAAAGGATAAGTTTGGATTTATATCGTCACGCGTGCCTTATTACAAGGTTCAATTTCTCTATCACCAATCACCATGCGTCTCTGTATTCAAATAAGGTGAGTTCATGCTTTTGCACGGCTGGCCCTTATAGGCAAGTGTCGTGTGTCGTGTGGCCTTGCACGTATGTCACTCGTAAGCGTGTGCACCATCCATGTTGCCTAGGAATACAATACTAATTGCCGTCCTTGGGAGCCATGTTTGATCTCACACAAACTTCTGCTATATGATGCCTGATTATATTCACACACATCCACTTTTTTAGCTGAAAGCGAAATATCACATATGCCACATCTCTCTATCCATGGGCTTATATTTTTGTAACGACCAAGTTTAATTTTGGACTGTATATACTATATTCCACTGAAGTTGAGTATTGTACTCGTAAACCATACTTGATAGGAAAGGACACTTAAAGAAACAAATGTGTACCAATTTTTTCCATGTCGATTTTGCATATTATCATATATATGCACATATCCATAAGAATTCTCCCTTCAATTGTAATTTTATGTATTAAAAAAATGACAAAAGTTATTTTTCAATATAGAACTACTTAACTCATTTCCTTTTTTTTTTTTTTTTTTTTTTTTAGGAACTTAACTCATCCTTACAAATGATAAGAAAGAACATATCATTACGGTATTACTTGAACTAATACATAGTAAGTTTGGTATATCTAAGATAAGCCTTAAATTTTACTCTTTGATAGGCCCTAGTCATTGTTGTTGGAAGAAGATTGAGTAGAAATGGATGAGATTCCGCTCCAACTCACTTATGATGTTGAAAATTATCTCTAATACTAGTTACCCTCAAATTGTAAATCAACCATTGACATTATGTAAATCTTCGTATGAATAGATGGATGGTAAAGAGTTAAATAACATAATGCAACTTATCATTAATACAAGGGTTTAAGTTTTTAATTATAATTCCTATCATCAACAAAATATATTTCCCCAAAATTTTGAATTGCTAGTCTACATGGTAATAAGTGTCTAAATAAATCATTGTTCTTGATTTGACTGGTTTGTATTATTAGTACTGGTGGCAAATCATAATGAATGTCTTTCATAGGTTTAATCACATGAATTACTTGAGCATTCATTTGCGGGAAAAAGTATCACCAGAATTAGTAAGTGGGGACAACAATTTAAATTAGTATCTAATGTTAATCATCGCAATTACAGCACGAGACAAAAGCAGCCTACTAGACAATTACAACCTAAACGAATGCCAAATTTTGATTAAGTTTTTGTCTATATTCCATCTCACGTGTTGCCTGCACTTTTTTTTTTGTTTTTCAATTAGGAACAAGAAATGTGTTGCCTACACTCTACAATAGTCTAACACACAAGTGAGTTAAATATCAAAATACTTGTTGCAGCAACCAATGAGCTCTTTCGCCTAGTGATTAAGACTAATAGTCTATGTATATTATGGTAGGTTACAAGATCTAATAATCTCATTCCCATTGGGTTATTTGTAATTTGTATTGTCTTTGTGATTCAATTTAGACCAAAAATGACATAGGTATATCATAAATGTAAATGAGATATGGATACTCATGAAAGGGAGCATTGGTGATTCCTTCACTTGAACTTTTAGCAATTTCTTTCACGGAATTTCTATCTTTAGTGCAAAGTAGATAGGGAATTATATGTACAACTTTTTTTTTCCTTAAAAGAAATGTGTACAACTAACTACATAATGAAAACTTTAAGTAGTCAAATATTTGTAACACTGATTAACATGTGATTCTATTAATTGTGGGAGCTAGATATTTATATCATGATCTAATTGCCATGTACTTCAAAGAGCCTAGGCTATCGAAGTATTAACCTACTGAGCAATTAAGTATTATATAAACTCATCTAAACTTATTTTGTTTAAACTTATTTATTCTATCTATTTCAAACTTATTTTGTCTATATCTGTACTATAATTCAAATAAACAAATTTACGTGCGTGTAAAATTGTCTAAGAAAAAACAAACTTTATAACTAATTAAGATAAGCTGAATAGGATTAGAGCCATAGCTAATTAATCTAACAATTATAATGTTAATTTGTAATTGAACTTTGGTTAAAGGAGACAATATGTCAAAACTCCCGTAAAGTGGTCCCCATTTCACACACTTTCTGCACTAAACGCATGTAAAAGCATGTTACTTAAGGACCCCACTTTACCATTTCCCCATTTTTTCCCCTTCATTTCTCCCATTTTTTCCACACCCCAAAAACTTAGTCATATTTTGAGTCCTCAATCGGCGCAAGTTAGCACCGAAACCCACTTCTCAACTCACCACCCCACAAAAACACCACCAAACCCAAACCCAAACCCTAACCCACATAATATGGCCCACAACCCGACCCACCGGCGCAAGTTAGCCACTCCGGACCCACCACCACAACCCACCACCGGAAAACGCCACCTTAAACCTTCCACCACCGCAACTTCCACCGTCTACAACCTCACTAACCACTTTTCAAGGCTTCGGCCCAATCCAACAAAGCCCAATAACACCCAAAACCCACTTCCCATTAAACAAATTAACTCCCAATTACAAGCTAAACCCATCTCTAAATCTGTTAATTTAGACCCCTCTAATCAAAAATTTGGGAAAAATGAGAAAAGGGTTGTTTTAGAAAGTGCCAAAAATAAGTCTTTGGTTGTTGTTCAAGAGAAAGAAGTGAGAAATTTAGAGAAAGAAAGTAAGATTAGTAATAATAGTAAGGTTATGGTGGTTAAACAACCATCATTAGTGGTTAACGGGATGGATAAAAGAAGGTCATTTAGTGATGCAAAAGTGGAGTTGGCTAATTTCTTGGTGACTAATTGTGCAAAAGTTGTTTCTGCTGATATGCCACCATTTATGCAAATTCATGCTGTTGGTTTTGCTAGGAAGATTAAAGATAGTCTTGAGAAATTCACTTCTAAGACTCTTGCTTTGTCACTCAAAAAGGTACTATTACTACTCTTGTTTTCCTAATGTTTGTGTCATTTATGGCTGATTCGGGGTTAATAGTCGTGTTGATAGTGTAATTTGAACTAGTAGCGTGTGGGTTCGTGTTTTTGAAATGTGTGTTTTCATGAGATTGAGTGAATATATACACCAAATTTATTGAAAAGATGGGAAGTAAATGTTCTGGCTGTAAAATCATTAAAGATCAGTCCAATAGATTTGGTTTTGGATTAAATAAGGTTTTTAAGTGAAAAATTATGATTTGTTGAATGACTTATAGGTTTAGTTAATTACAGTTATTTTGTTTTGAATATGATTTGATGATCCCAAAACAATAGAAACATGGCCAAATTTGAAATGAATACTGTTTACTTGACTATGCATGCTCAGAGAAATGATATGACAGTAGGTCATAGGTGTGTAATTGATTTTTTATTTGTCAGATTTGGGGTCCACCTTCTGCCTTTTTGCATTTGAACTTTGAAGAGTAGGTACAAAAATAAGACTATAGTTGAAAAACAAGAGTATAATGATAACTGTTAATATGATTCTATTGTAAATTGTAGAAGTAAATAATGTTGAACATCAGCATTGTTCCAATACCCTTGAAGATAGGTTTCCCTTCTTCCCCTTGAGCAAGGGTTGAGGGGGATCGGATATTCAGATGTACACAACCTTGTTTAGGGTGCATTCTAATTAGGTTTATAGTCGAGTAGATCCAATCAAATCTAATAATATCAAGTGAAAATAACATGCTCGTAAGTGCTATAACGGACCTAGGTTGTTTCCAATTGACACTTGATGAATGCAATTATACTCTATTCACTAAATGGGAAAACTAAACTAAATTAAACCATTTCTATGACACCCTTTAATTAGGTTTGACCGTTTGAACAGTCAATGTAAATGTGACCAATATAATTAAACCATATAATGTAATTAATGTTAAGGTGGGCAATAAGATTTGCATGTATATCCGGGCATCAATTAAGTCCAAAATTGGGACCCATATTGTTGTTGGTCATGTCAAATAAATCCATATAAAGGGATTGGTTGGTCAAATGCGTAGAAATTTGATTAACTTTGAATTGAATGAATGCAGGAACTTGATGGAGTTTATGGACCTGCTTGGCATTGTATTGTTGGGACCAGTTTTGGGTCATTTGTCACTCATTCTGTTGGTGGTTTTTTGTATTTTTCTTTGGATCAGAAATTGTATGTTTTGATTTTTAAAACTACTGTACAAAGAGCTGATTAATGGTACCAAAAAAATAGGAAAAAAAATTAAAAATGAAGATGAATTGATTTGATGAATGAAGAATTGAAGATGCAGAAGAAAAAGAAAAGGTTTCCTAGGGAGTAAATAGTGAAACACATTTTGTCGTTTTGTATACCGAAGTTTGTATGCTTATAGTATATTTTTGGGTTGGAAAGCTAAGCTTGTACATGTTTCTTGCTACTTCAAATATTAATACGATTAATCAAGTTATGACTTACAGTACATGTTTTATGTAGTCTAGATGCTTTTGTGTTATATGTTATGCATTATGATCACGGTGTATAATTAAGGATATGGTATGATCTTGTATTGTTTTTGGAATGGCGACGAGTCTGAGTATCTGACTACTATTTCGGCTATATTACAACAATTTGTATAAGGTGCAAGGTATATTTCTATTATGTTCAAATGACTTAAGTAGTATGCTTTATGAACGAT